TTGCGTCCAAAGTATTGGCTTCCGTCATACTTCGTAAGTCGTTCAAAACCCGAGAAAGATTAACTCGCGAGGAGCACCCTGATTTTCATTCCGGTCGAGGATGTATTCATCATATCTTCACCCTCCACCAAATGTTAGAACACTGTCATACTTATCAAAGGCCAACAATCGTAGTGTTTCTTGACATCAGGGCTGCCTTCGATTCGTCGGACAGGACTGTTCTCTGGGATTGTCTATTGAAGAAGGGTGTGCCTGAGAAGTTTATTAAAATCCTAAAAGCTTTATATACAAACACCTCAAGCAGAGTAAGGGCATACAACCACCTCTCTCCATTGTTCCATTCGAGCAGTGGGGTTAGGCAGGGTTGTCCAACCTCACCATTCCTCTTCAATTTTGCCATCGACGACATTCTGGAAACAGCTCTGATGGATGAACGTAATGGCGATGTGGATCTGTTGCCTGGAGAAAGACTTCTCGACCTTGAGTATGCAAATATTGTCTTACTGTGCGATAATGCTTAATGCATGCAATACGCACCTAATCAGTGTCCGTAAGTATGGTATGTGTTTTGCACCTTCGAAGGGCAAAGTACTTCTACAAGACTGGCAGGATTCTAATCCTGTACTCACCCTGGATGGTGAGCAGATAGAAGTGGTCGAGAAGTTCGTGTATCTGGGTAGCTGCATAAGTGCTGGTGGTGGCGTGAGTGATGAGATCAGTGCACGTTTAGTGAAAGCCAGAGTGTTTATGCCAATCTGGGCCACCTTTGGCGCCTTCGTGATGTTAGTCTGGCTGTAAAAGGCCGGATCTACAACGCGTCGGTGAGAGCAGTTTTGCTCTATGCTTGTGAAACCTGGCCTCTCCGAGTTGAGGATGTTAGACGACTCTCTGTGTTTGATCATCGTCGTCTCCGAAGGATTGCTGACATCCAGTGGCAACACCATGTTAGTAATGCAGAGGTTCGGGATCGTATGTTCGGGCACAGAGATGATAGTGCAATCGATGTCACCATCTTGAAACACCGACTTCGGTGCCGTGGACATGTTCTACGAATGTCGTCCCAGAGAATTCCACGTCGTGCATTATTTGCCGACTCTGGGACTGGTTGGAAAAAGCGGAGGTGGTCAGTATATGACATGGTGTCATGGTATGAAAGAAAGCTGCAAAGGGCTGGCTTCTCTTGGCCCTTCACGACTCCGTGGCTGAGGTCCGAGAGATGGTGCGACACAGTGGCTAGAGACGTTATCAGATATGGCTCAGAATATAAGCCAGTGGTGATCGTGCTTTAACCTTCTTTTACTTTCTTTATAAAAAAGTGATTGTATCTTCCTTGACTGAAAGATTTCTTCTGATTGTACCTTTCCGTTCCCCCATTATTACCACTATCATTATTTCACTACCTTACACCAATCTCTTCCTTATTGTTCTTTTTTTACCCTCCTTACCATTTATCGTTTTCCTTCTCTTTAAATTTTCATTGTTTTGTGTGGCGCATATATATTTGGCGCAATCTTGTACCAATATGTATGTGATCAAATAAAAAATAAAATAAAATAAGAACCCGTAACAATAGGGATACACATCGTTGCCTTTTCGTTGTCTCTGTAGGTGACTTTAATGCCCAGGTAGGTAGCTTGAACCAAACAGAAAGACATTTAGGCGGGCATTTTAGTATTCCGACTCAGCGAACGGATAATGGTGATAGTTCGATGCAACTCTCCTCAGATAATCATGTTTTTAGTAAGCAATAATTCTAAGCATAAGGAGCGAAATCATCTAACATGGCGACCTCAACCAAACCAACGATGGACTCAAGTAGACCATATTGCCATCAGTCATGGTTGTAGAGGTTCGATAGAAGACTGTCGCTCGATATATCGATATTCTATCAAACATATTTTCTAACCTCTATGCTTCTGGCTTCACTGAGTTGGCACGCTTCGATTGTAAAAATGTTACTGATTAAGGTGTTGTTAGACTCCGTATACTTTGAGCACCGTTATACTTTAATGTATAGGCTCTAAAAATCCAAGGGTTAGTTAGATACGAGTTACACGTTTAAGGCATAACAAATACATTCATTCGTCTTGTGGCGGTCGTTTTATTGAATTTGAGTCACACTTTAGTTAGAGGGCTAGTATTACTACCCAGTTACTTAAGGAGAAGCAAGTTTGGTGTTGTGAATTGTGCACTGCTGAATGAGTCAGGCGTTTTAATCGCTAAGTATGTGAAGCATGGTTCCAGTAGACAAAACAAGTTAAATACCTTCGGGGATTCGATCAGCTCAATTCATATGAAATCGAGTAGTGATTGAACTATCAGCCAAAAGAGACATCACAAAGAAAGTTGTCTACAATTGAAACGTATTTAACTTGCCTGGCATAATGCTTGATCCAGGTTCGTTTGCCGGTAAAACAAATTCACTGAGGCCACAGTTTGGTCCCGAGCTGAGCAGACAAAAATCATTAGACAATCGCATTAAAGCTGTAGCGGTGGTATTAAAACAACCACTTAACTGTAATAAGGCATCATGGCCTGCAAGAGCTGCAAATTTATTTTCAGCTGGTTTGAAAACGAGATCTATTACCGGTGTAGATTCTTTGTACATCTGTTAAAAGAATTTGTGAAACGTAAGTAAAACAATTTGTTTAGCACTCCAAATATTCGTTTCCGAATTTAACTGAAACAAGAAAATCCTAAGTAACTGAGGAGTAGGATTCTTATTCCAATTATGCATTATAAAAGGGAAGAGAGTCAAGTAATCATACATTGGATGCAGAAAAGGAGACAGCGAAAAACCTAAATCTATTTCCTAACCTTAACCATCAAGTGCAAATCATAATTTTAATTCCCCACACTGGTTTATAACTCTCACTTAGTCGTAGTTATTAGGCGGACACTCTCAAGTTAAGTCTAGCTTTGCTCAACGGTCGTCCATAAATTATAGTCTCACCGAAGAAGATTATTGTATAACAAGGTAGTGTGGAATAAACTAATAATGTTACCAGCTGCACTGTTTGGCTTGTCACGGAAAAGTCTGGATGGTATGTAAGCATTGGATAAAGGCGCTAGATAACGGAAACTCAGTGGATGTTGTCTACATAGACTTCGGTAAGGTATTTGACAAGGTGCCAACAAATAGACTGATATTTAGGTTAGAAAATCCTAATATTTTCGGCCCTCTCTTAAAATGGCTTAGGGATTTCGTAGTAGATTGTAGACTGGAAGTAAGAATAAATTCAAAGTGTTCCACCTGGAGACCAGCACTTAGTAGAGTGTCTCAAAGTTCTGTCCTAGGTCCTTTACTTTTTGTACTATATGTAAATGATCTCTTAAATATAATACAGTCCCCAATGTTATTATACGCTGACGATGTAAAAATCTGGAGAAAATTAACGGGGACGCAGATGCGTGCCCACTTCAAGCAGACGTAAATATTTTGATTAACCGATCTAAGGAGTGGCTGATGACTATCAACGCGGCAAAGTGTGTCTAAATGCCCTTTGGGGATACAAAAATAAAAAGGTATAGCATAGAGTAAGGGCCTATACTCGTAGTCCGGCCTCACAATGATCTCGGGTTGACAGTGAGTCATGATCTTAAGACAACAGCCCACTGCCGTGAGGTCGCAAGCAAGTGGTTTAGAACCCTGTAGGCTTTAAGACGAACATTCACGAAGTTAGATACTACCATATTCACTACACTATACACAATCTTAGGCTGCAGACCCTTGTTTTTAAAAGGTGACTCAGATATCCTGGAAAAAGTACAGAGGGCAGCTTAAATTAAATTAAATTTAAAAGGATAAAGTTTGCTCGTCCTTCCCTGGCCGTTTGAAAGCTGATCACTGACTCTCACATACAAATGTCTAACGTTTAAAACTAAAAGCTTTTTGTTGACGTCAAAAATATCGTTCTTTTGTCAGTATCGGCAAAAATAATTTCAAGTATCTACAATTAATAGCAGCGAGTTATTACGTTTAGATAATAGTTATGAAGTGTAGGAAAGTAATTTCGGAATTTTCGTAAACTAAACTTACAGTTCTGTAAAGACCACCAGCTAATTGTGTTAAGCCCACACACAGTTCCTCGTCGAAACCTTTAAAACAATTTAGCCCAGTTCCCACGGCAGTTCCACCAACAGCTAAATAACAAATCAACGGTAATTGTGATTTAATTGAATCCACTGCCTGCTGTAGTTGACTCACGTATCCACTCAATTCTTGTCCAACGCTCATTGGAACAGCATCCTAAACTAAATATATAACATTTTGAGGATATTACTTGCATATGGGTCCTTCCAATTTTGATAACATCCATAAATTCACGCATCTTACTTTTGAGTACGTTTATGAGGTGATTCAAAGATGGAAGAACCTTCCATGCAGTTTCCATTGCAATGCTCAGATTCATGGCAGTGGGAAAAATATCATTTGAACTCTTAAACAGACAGTATATGATAAAGATGACCGAACCTGTCCAAGATTAACATGATCGTTGGGATGAACAGTCAGTTTAGAACTGCGTGAACCTTCAATCAGTTCGCTAGCTCTACTCGAAAGAACTTCATTGACGTTCATATTAGTCTGAGTACCAGAACCAGTTTGCCAAATAACGAGAGGGAACTCATTGTCATGCAGTCCATTGTATACTTCGCGACAGGCCTTTACAATGGCGTCTGAGATTTTGGAACTTATTCTCCCAAATTTGAAGTTTGTACAAGCAGCAACTTCTTTGATCATAGCTAGAGAATAGACTATTTGCAGCTGAGACAGTCATTAAAATAGACATGTACTTACTGGCATTGTGTCCGATCTTGTGCAGATATTAAAGTTCTCCAGAGATCTAGCAGTTTGTGCGCCATAGTAGCGTTCTAAAGGAACCTTGATGCATCCTAAGCTATCCTCAACAACTCGTAAACGTTGTGAATCCGTTCCAATCATGAGTTAGTCGATAACTGCAAAATGTGTTTGAATTTTTTGAACAATTTTAATCTTGTAAAACAAACTTACGACTGCAATGCGACAGTGTATTACACGAAGAATCATGAATAATAGATAATAGTGGAAGAGATTTGAAATGTTATGTTGTAATATAATTTGGAACCTTCATGTGTCTAATTGAAAACATGGGATTACCGTTCGAAATTGGTTCAGTGCCTTCGTGATTAAAAGTTGCTTGGCGGCCAAATTCCGGTTGTGTAGAATATTTTTGTGCACACTGTCACTAAAAGTAAGCGCGCTGCTAGTGTGTCATAGTTTAGTGAATTAGAAAGTTCTCATTACATATGATCACTGAAACTTCATACTTGGCATCCGAATGGGAAACATGAAATTCGTTTAGTTTACTTCCCGATTCCTTTATATTCGGAAGATTGGTTCTCGGACTTCACTTTTAGTTTTTTGTGTTCTATGTATTCTGATTCGTTTTCTCTTCTTATCCTCGGGACATCTAGATGCTTAATTCATATTAATCATTAATTACACATTTTAAATGATAGTTACTCATTATTTAGGGATTCCAGTCAACGTTCATGGAAGTATTGTTACTTATTATTTATTTTGAGGATTGAGGGAAACTGTTATTTCGCCCTGGAAAATACACAACTTTGTTCGAGAATCTCATCAAGGTTACAGCGGAAAACATACACTTACTTAAAAGCTACCTTTTAAATTGAGTCGATTCTTTTTCGGAAATGTTATCATACGAACAAGCTATGGTACCCACATATTAATCGTGGAATCTTGAAACATCAGGTCTGTTGTGCCAACGCGCTAGTACCATTTATTTCAGCGTGTAGGCTTAAACACGCTTAAATGACCACTGGTTAATTGAAGCTATAGGGAATTAGTTATACCTTTTTATTGTACATCGAGAATTTTTCACAGTTTTCAAAGTGTCAGTGTTTTTCAAACAAATCCTTCATTTAAAAAATTCCATGGTTTTTAGGAAGCTGGTACTACCCTGGTGTTATTTCCTCAGTCAGTCACAACTTAGAATCTCATACATATGTGCTTTAGTACAGAGAGATGAAATCGTATGGCCAAATCTCAAAATAGTACAGGAATTAACAGTATGAGTGGTGAATGAAAGGATTAGTCATTCGAATTCGAGAAAATGTGAACCAGGGGGATAATAACCCAAAAGAAGTAATGAAGAACTCAGAAGCTCAGATTTTCACGGGAAACAGAATAGATGAAACCTACACCATTGTGAACAGTTCTGAACTATATCATTCAGTCCCTAATCATTGATTGCGTTAATCACACGTACCCCAACTAAGTAGTCTACAGCTATTAACATGACAGTCCAACTTCCAGCGACTTTATAGAATAGTGCCATTTTTTGGTTTGGCCACCTCTAGCTTTCTTATAGCCTGCTTTTACATTAGACATCTATCATTGAGGTAGGCAGTGGTTCTCAATACGTGGCGCATCTTCCAACCATCTAAATCGATGGAGATCAACTCGTCAATTGAATTATCATCCTTACCTAGTACCCCACTCCTAACTCAGCCATTGCTTAGTCCGTAGTCCTTAAATACATATGCAATGCTTCAAGTACACCTTTGACCGTATACTAGTAATTTGCGAAAATCCTATGTTGCTAATGACCATGTTTCACACCTAGGAAATAGAACACAGTAAACTCGTCCAGCCAATGTACGAGTTTCTGGTGTTATTCAACAGCAATGGGATGTTCTTTTGTCACATATTAGTACTCCTAATGGCTTTCTTAAGACTGTAATATATTTAATGCCGAGGAGAGTAAAACAAAGGGCTCCATCATACCGTAAACTTTATAAAACATTCAGCCAACACGTTGCTCTTTCGAGCCAAAACAATTTTCCTTTGTGTAGATGATTTTAGTTGCCAGCTCATACTACGATATCTCTTGACTTTTTAATGAATTCTCAATTGCATATATATAATGCCTCGAGAAAAAATGCAGTAGTGTTTGATGAATAAGGTCATGCACCATGGGTTTCTTTGGTGTCTTGTTGCTGATGTGCACTATGTTTTGTTTGCCTTATCCAGCAGTAGGGTCTCCCTGGCAATGACTGTCAATATGTATTCGTATATAAACATTTCGTTAGGGATAGCAAATTACTCACTCTTCTGTACCCGAGTTCTCGAGGTTATCACTGTGCATCAAATATCAATCAGTCACTCAGTAAAACCAGAATCAGAATCTTGTATATGTGTAACGGTTCAACCAACTACACCACATTATCATAGCAAGACGAAATTATTAGAATCAATGTCAGTTGCGTGACACACAGTACCCATGCTCAAGCACCGACTACTGCTGCGCTCAATGCTAACTGGTGTTCGAGACGGTTGGAAGTAAGTTCGGTGCGGCCAAATCAAAATTTGGCATCAGTTCATAAAGTCACTAACTTCTGGTTTAAGCCATGTTGGTAGATGTAGACTACTTGGTTGGGGACCGCGCGCCCATCGTAACGAGTGGTTGGAGACTCAGAATTGACTACAATGGCATAGGTTTATACACTTTGTCTTCCCTTAAATAGTGAAATTAAAATTACTTTATACCGTTCTACGATTTAACTCTTCGTGTATCATATCCTTATATGAAATTTTTTTACTATCGCCAAAGTAGCTGCTTCCACGGATTTGGCGTTAATGAATTAGGTGCTAATGAGGTGTGACAACATGAATCGATGCATTTATATGCCTGGTCCTATGTCCTGGATGACTGAACACTGATTTCAAATTAGCTACTACTAGTTCAGGAAGATATGTTTTTATTCTGAAGATATTTTTTGTTCATGTACTATGACAGTTGCAGTCTTGGTAAGTTATTGATAGTCGAGCTATGCGACTAATAATCTAAAAGCGTAGAATTGCTATCGATCCGAGTTATTTTACTGATGGAACGATGAAAAGTGAGATTTAAACTTACTTTTCAGATAGTCTTATTCTTTGCAACATTTTTCAAATAAATGTTTATTTTCTAGTTTTTGAGTTAAAATCTTTTGGAACCAGTGTTTCCGTGTGTTTTTGTCAAACCACGTACATGCAATTTGAAAACCGATTAGTAAACAACGAGACATTAGGTCCACAGAATCTTCTAAAATGCACTTAAACTTCCACATCTTGGAAGTTACACTTATCCATGCGCTGCAATAGCTCATTACATAAGAGAAATAAAGCACCGAATATGTTTTAGGGTCTTCGGACTGACCCAGACAATGCTAAAGTAGTACCTGGCTCTCTAACATAAAAGTATGTTTTCTTAAACTTGTTTGTTAACTGTTTTGCATGTGAACCCATTCTATCCTTTTTATTTGTTTTTCCCGTGTAGATTGTAAACATTCTGAGAGTAACAAGTACCTTTTCATCACGTATCGGCCTCTTGTCGGTAGTTATTTGGTAAACTGCGTATTACGATTTTCCTGTATTCAACTTTTGGATGGTTAAAGACCGACTGCCTGAGCTTGAAGCTGTAGTCCTGTTACAATTTTTTTATTGTTTCTTGCGTTTATAGCGTATAAAGGTCAGAAATGGAAATGCCAGGAAGAAGGCAGAGTTGGACTTTTCTCAACTACATGCTGCTGTTTTCGATCAGGTAAATGTGTTTGTTGGTCTAATTATCAATAGGTCAATGAACTTCACTCTGATATTGATAATTTACGGCAAGATATTAATGCAGTTGACAGGCTACAAAAAGACATACTGGCTACACCTCAACAAGATCCAAGTAATGTTATTTATTCTTTTATGGTTTTAGAACTGGATAGTCAACTTAGTGAGCTCACCAATTCCATCCGAGAAAGGGCTCATAAAATTCGGAGTTCCTTGAAAGGTAAATTCCTTTTTCTTGACTGGGATCGTCTACAATTGTAGAATTAGGGCAACAGGAAGATGATAAACTTCTGTCAGGATTATCTGGTAAATGTCGTCTAAAGTCGTCTCAGGTTTTGGTTTTGGGATATCTTATGCTTTCACTTTAGCATGCTGCTATTTCCCGACAATTCGTCCACATTATGAACAATTATAGTCAACTACAAGTAGATTATCGTGACAAGTGTAAGGCTCGAATTCGAACCAAGCTCCGTATCGGTAAGTGTCATCTCCGTTTCCAAAAGAAGTTCAAATATTTTTCAGCTGAAGTCTCATTTTCGGAAGATGAGGTTGAAAAGATGTTAGAAAAAAACCATACGGGTATTTTTACACAGGCTGTAAGTTACTTGATTTTATAGGCTAAATTTTCTTGGTCGTCATTTCGAATACCGAAATTCTAAGCAGTTTTACAATAAATTTCTAAGTGTAGCTAAATGCAACGATGTGCGGCTTGTCTCGATAATGTCTTACCTTCAACCGACCACCTGTAATTCCATTTTTGTTCAATACTGTTAGTATAAATTACTAATTGGTTGTTTTGCTGACTTACCACGGTAGAATTACTCGTAGTATGAAGTTTTAGTATCATACTGTCTTGGAATAACAGGAAATCAATGTTTCATATATTTGAATGAAGACTGAGTATTGCATTTTAATAAACAACAACCTTAAATTTTATTGCAATGCGAAATAAGAATATCGTCACTCTTCAACCTAATGAAGACTCTAATGTTGTTATGATTGACAAACAAAGGTATGGAAGCAAATAAAATGGACGACACATATTGTTACTTGTAATAGTTATAAACACGTTTTTCGTATAGTGTTACTTACTTACTTACGCCTGTTACTCCCAATGGAGCATAGGCCGCCGACCAGCATTCTCCAACCCACTCTGTCCTGGGTCTTCCTTTCTAGTTCCATCCAATTCTTGTTCATTTTTCGCATGTCTATCTCCATTTCTCGGCGTAATGCGTCCTTTGGTCTTCCTCTTTTTCTTTGACCTTGAGGATTCCATGTGAGGACTTGTCTTGTGACGCAGTCGGGTGCTTTCCTCAATGTGTTTCCTATCCACTTCCAGCGCTTCTTCCTGATTTCTTCCTCCGCTGGGATCTGGTTTGTTCTCTCCCACAGTACGTTGTTGCTAATAGTGTCCGGCCAATGGATCTGAAGTATTTAACGTAGACAACTGTTAATAAACACCTGTATTTTCTGGATGATGGCTTTTGTAGTTCTCCAGGTTTCTGCCCCATACAGTAGAACTGTCTTGACATTGTTATTGAAAATCCTGACTTTGGTGTTGGTTGCCAGTTGCTTTGAGCTCCAGATGTTCTTCAGTTGTAAATATGCTGCTCTTGCTTTGCCGATCCGCGCCTTCACATCTGCATCAGATCCAACCTGCATGCTGTGTTGTATCGGAGAATCCTGCTTTTCCCTTTGTGTATGTTGAGACCTACTGCTGCTGAGGCTGCTGCCACACTATTTGTCTTCTCCTGCATCTGTTGTTGCGTTTGGGATCGAAGGGCCAGATCGTCTGCGAAGTCTAGATCATCCAACTGCATCTTAGATGTCCATTGTATCCCGCGCTTCCCTTCAGACGTTGACGTCTTCATGATCCAGTCGATCACCAGGAGAAAGAGAAAGGGTGAGAGTAAGCAACCTTGCCTAACACCGGTCTTCACTTCGAACGACTTTGTCAACTGTCCTCCATGCACAATTTTGCAGTGTAATCCATCATATGAGTTCTGTATGATATTGACTATCTTCCGAGGCACGCCGTATTGTCGAAAAAGTTTCCATAGTGTTGTTCTGTCCACGCTGTCAAATGCCTTTTCGTAGTCAATGAAGTTGATGTAGAGTGATTAATTCCATTCAATTGATTGTTCCACAATGATCCGTAGAGTTGCGATTTGGTCTGTACACGATCTATCCTTACGGAATCCTGCCTGTTGGGCGTCTACGCAGTCCTTCATCCTGTTTAACAATACCCTGTTGAAGACTTTTCCCGGTATTGAGAGAATAGTGATGCCCCTGTAGTTCTCACAGTTGCTGAGATCGCCTTTCTTCGGTATTTTGATTAGAAGTCCTTTCCAATCTGTTGGTACTTGTTCCTCATCCCAAATCTTATTGAAGAGAATGTGGAGTATCCTTGCAGTTGCCGCTACGTCTGCTTTTAGTGCCTCTGCTGGGATGTTGTCCGGTCCTGCTGCTTTGCCACTCTTGATTTGTCTGATGGCCATGCTGATTTCTTCAATTGTTGGTGGGCCAACATTGATTGGGAGGTCCGTGGGTGCTGCTTCGATGTTGGGTGGGTTCAGTGGAGCTGGTCGATTCAAGAGTTCTTTGAAGTGTTCTACCCACCTGTTTTGTTGCTCTTCAATGTGGGTGATTACCTTGCCTTCCTTGCTTTTCACTGGTCGTTCTGGTTTGCGGCGATTTCCAGAGAGTTTCTTTGTCGTGTATTCAGCTTGTGCCTTGGCTTTTTCGGCTCTTGTTCGGCTGGTATTGATCGCTGCCTTCTTGTTTCTTCTTTCTTGAATCTTATCCAGTGTATCAACAGTGATCCATTCCTTGTGATGGTGCTTCTTGTGACCCAGGACCTCATGACATGTTGAAGTGATTGCCTCTTTGATTCCCTTCTAGTTGCACTCCACAGTAGTTCCTTCTCCATTGAGTTGATCATGAAAGGCCTGGAACTTTTTGCTGAGGACTATCTTGAATTTGTTGAGTTTGTTAGTATCCTGAAAAAAGGCCGTATTGAACTTTTGTGATATTGTCCGCTTCATTGTCCAGTGCTTCTTGAGTTTCAATTTCATCTTGGCGACCAGCAAGTGATGATCTGATGCTATATCAGCTCCTCTCTTGGTTCTCACGTCCTCTATAGTCCTCCTGAACGTTTTGTTGATGCAAATATGGTCGATTTGGTTTTGTGTAGTGTGATCCGGTGAAGTCCATGTGGTTTTTGTTATGTTTGAAACTTCACGAGTTCACTTAAACTGTGAACGAGAACAATACTCAGTGACCAAAGACCAGTGACCTAACTATTGACGCGTCCCAGCCCCGCTATCTAGAAGAAGTCCAGGCTTGGTATGGAATATATATTCTGCAACAGCCAGAAGCGAGCGAGCAAGCACAATTTAAAACATATGAGTCTGGGGATCTATCGTCCCCAACAGTTTTGTATATGCGTTTATGTGGGAATATGGTGCCGCCTATGACCAGTTTATTTAAGGCACATAGGTTTGCAAATCTCTCACCATTTTCGTTCCTTTCTCCCAGTCCGTGTCGTCCCATGATGTCTTCATATCCAGTGTTGTCCGTTCCAACCTTGGCGTTGAAATCTCCCATCAGAATAGTCAGGTCCTTTGTTGGGCACTTCTCGATGATTGACTGCAGCCTATTGTAGAATTGATCGTTAGCGTCTTCATTGTAGTCGTTGGTAGGCGCATAGCATTGGATGATGTTCATTGAAATGCCCTCTTTCTTTGTTTTGAAGGTAGCTTTCATGATCCTTGGTCCATGAGATTCCCATCCTATAAGTGCCTTTTGTTCTTGTTTGGACAGCATCAATGCAACTCCTTGTGTATGTGGAACATTTTCTTCTTCATGGCCGGAGTATAACAGAAGCTTTCTTGAAGCTAGTCGTTGTTGTCCAACTTGTGTCCAATGTGTTTCACTGATCCCAAGTACCTCTAGGTTGTATCTTCTCATTTCTGCAGCAATTTGGAAGGCTCTTCCGGTGTTCCACATTGTACGAACATTCCATGTACCTAAATAGATGGTCGCTCTGGTTGTCAGAAGGGGCATCGGCCTCGTAACTTCCGAAAGAATTCGGCTTTCATCATGAGGCGTCATAGATCTTCTAAATGAAGACCTTCTGACTCCCAGGGCAGAGTTTAAAAGGTTTGAATAATTTTTTCTGGTTAGCGTTTTTTTAGCGAGGGAGGGGACTCCAGGCGGAGTTTTTCGTATAGTGTCTTCTCCCGATAAACCTCACCCTTTTATACAGCTTACAATGGAGTAGAAACATAATACTGGTATTCACTGCAATGCAAACGGCCAAACAGAAGTATCTGTTCATCGAAAGAACACAGGTTAGGTTTTATATAGATTTTTAGGTTCCTGTGCAATAAGCGACAAAAGAGCTTTGGTTATCAAACTGTCCGACCACGTACTGAAACTATGTTCAGAGTTAAAAGTTGAAGAGGAATGAACTATAGTTTAAAGGTGTTTACAAGATAATGGTTATCTACAGAAGTTCGCCAGTAAGTATGCGAAAGGAAAGGCCACAGGAATAGAATGTGCTTCAATAAAAAACCCAGTTTTAAAGAATTAACTCCAAAAATGATGTGGTGGTTGGTATGATTAATTGTAGACTATGTGTTGCTTTAATGGGGACATATCCAGTTGTTGAACTTGTCTCTTTGTATCAGACGAATTGCTCACTGAAGCAGACAATTCTCACTTCATGTTACCTCTCACTATTTATCAGATGCCGAAGGATTTACACTGAAAGGACAGAAAGTAAGGTTCTTGTTCGCATCTCAGAGCACATTCCATAATAATTGGGGCCAAAAGGCTAACGTGTTTCGAACTGTGCGGTTAACTGTCGTCTGTTTGATAGTAAACAGAACTTCGATATTTCAAAATCGTTCAGAATAAACATTTTTCAAACTGTTTTGAATTGGTCACATTTAACCGAAGTCGTTACAAGATAGTCGAAAAAACCGATTTACCCAAAAGCTAGTCTCTTTGTATGTTAAAAATTATCTACTATTTTGACACTTGTTAATGTATAAATATTCGACTGTCGAAATGTTTTTAGATTCGTTCCATATTTATTTTGCTCATCTTCATTAATATGATATATGTACTTTAGTTTCAAACAGTTAATACCACTGTTTCTAGATTGCTAACAGTTGCACAGCAACCACAAAATAGCGTAGTTCGTTTTTTTCTGCTAAGTTTGTTGTTTTTACTTTATTCAAGTTTACAAATAGCAAAATAAATTACGTCTTTCAACAATAGTAGTATCTCAGTAGTTGTTCATTCTTAGTTGAAGCATAAGTACATTTAAATTTGACTTGTATTCTTTGTCCTATTGAGTTTCGAGTTTTGACTTAACTTTGCTCATGTATATTGTAACAGACTAATTTTTTTCTTAACCCTCAATTTGTGTAAATCACAACTGACCCATCAATCTGCATTATCTTGTCTCCTTATATTTGTTTTTAACCTCGTAAACTTTGGTAAATTTCTGAGCATTTTGATCATAAGTTTTCTTTATACGATGCCTCATAGATAGTTTTCTCAAATTAGATTATGGCTGAAACAGAAGCTGCGAAGCGATCATTATCGGATATCGAAGCTCGTCATGCAGACATTATACGGCTCGAAAAAAGTATCCAGGAGATGAAAGAGTTATTCTTCAATGTCGCTCTTCTAGTTGACCAACAAGTAATCTCTTTTAAATTTATACATGTTTTACTACAAATGCTTTATAATAACGATTGGCTGTACTTCTCATAATTTTTAGTTACACGTTTGATTTACGAATTCAGTATTATATTACTGTGTTCGCTTTCTGGGATCCATCGTTGTATCTCGAACAATAAGATAATTTACTTAAAACCATCTAGTAGTCCCCTGAATAGATGTCGTTTGTAATATAACTTATAACTATAGACTAGTTTTCTGTTGTTTTTCTGACAATTTACTGGTATAACAATTTGAATTAGTACGTTTGAGTTACGATACTCTGTAAACGTTTAGTCGAAGTAGTAAAAGTAATGGTATAGAACTATAATATGTTTTAAAAAATGTTGACTAATGAGACATTTACTAGTTTAGATGGATGTACACCTCTGATTAGATGTTAGTAGTATTAACTGAAATTTTTATGTTTTACTAAGTTTTCTAGAAAACTGAACACCTATAAAGAGTTCGGATTAACAACAATTGATTTCATGGATGGATGCCATTTTGATCTGATTATCATCACCGTTTTCCAGTCGTCATTAGAACCACGAATCTTCTTAGGCATCCACTTAGGATTCGTAATAAAACCTAACCATTTCAGTCCCTGTAAGCTCAAAACTCTATGGAGTTGCTTAATCTCCCGATCTCTTCATTTCGTATCAGATGAATTAAGTTCTACACTCTGCCTTGTGATGTCTATTTTCTGAATAGTCTTGTTTGCTGATACGTTAGCATTAAAGCTTTGCTCCCATATATCTTGATACGATGAATCTCAAGTTTTACTACGAAATATAACATTTTAAACTTTTAACCCGGACTACCTTTGAAGCAATTATCCCCATTATTTTCTTGCTACTTTGTGCTCTTTATATTAGGGTGATTTAATCGACCAGGTTGAATACAATTTGAATAAGGCATCTGACTGTGTTGTAAATTCAAAGCGTACCCTTTCATCAGCCGTAATTAGAAATAAGAAAAATCGTCGAGTAAGTGGACATTTTCATTTATTTTTTTGCCGTGAAATTGTTGCTAGCTTCCCTTAGCTGTGTTTTCAGTAAACTGTTTGTCAGATTCTGCACTATTCCTCGCATTAACTTCAAAAACTGGACCCTTGTGTATATGAATTGTGTAAATCATGGCCGTATACATGAATAATCTTACCTAATTACTGAGTTTTGGTTGAAGAGTGTGCTATCCGGTTTGTTTTCGGTCGCTCTCAGTCTATAAAAAATATCTTTAATTATGTTTGTCATGAAATCGTTTCATTGTTCAGTGTAGTTTTATTTGTCTGTTACATTTTTAGAAGTAAAATTGATTGCATAGCAGATAAGAGATCAGTATTTAGGTGACTACTTTTAATCTGAGCGTCTGAATTCCAATGATCATGTATCAGTTTCAGATTTCTGAACACGCACTCCAGTTTGGGCTACCGATTTGTACTATTAGCCTTCACACGTAAAGTAAGACTTAGGTATATGTACTTATAATTGGCAAATGAGTTACATTCATTTATTATAGAGATATTGTTATTTCACTAAATATGTAGATAAGTAATTAAAATAGATCGAATTCTAGTTTACTGTGAATTCCTGGTTTAGTGCATTTTCCATTTTGGTACCGTTGGATTTGATTTAGTGTCTTCTATATTGGTTTTTTAACATCCGTACTAAGTACTGACAATACTGAAATTCTATCCATCTAATGTCAGACTAAATTTTATCAACATCATATTATGTATATTCTTGGAATGTTTAAATGTTTGCACCGCGCCCTAAACTTCATTTCGAAGCTCTCAATATTTGGACCTTATCTTCAGTCAGACAACAAACTTTTTTAGCTTATGACTCCAAGATCTCGTGGTGTCGATTCATGCTCTATCTCCGAAACACACATACAAGATTTGAGTTTGGTCATTCTCTTGACCTCACCTAGTTAATAAGCGGAGCCGGCTCGATCTACCCTTCATTTATCTGGGTATTTGGCGCTACTCCTAGCTGCCTCACTGTCGAAAATATAGGTTTAAATTCAAAAGCGTAGTAGGCTCTGTGACGAGATTCCGGCACACAATCGCTTGTGCACTGTTCGATTAAACGGAACAGTAAGAATTAAAAAAAACAGGAACATAAGTTCTCTCCTCACTGTCTCTGACTTTGCTCTCACAAATTGTAGTTCGGATGAAGTAAAAGACAATATTTATAGAAGCTCTCCATCCTCTACAAAGTTAGATGTCTAAATGTAGTGGTGGTAACAGATGACTGTAATATGTAAATGAGTAGTCTACAGAACGATTACGTCTGAGACGGATTTTGTGATGCATTATCCAAAGTCGTCAGTCATTAATTACGAATATTAGGTAGGGTCTAGCATGGTAGCTTCCACAGATTAATTTGACTCAATCTAACGGTTTATGATCTTATAGACTAATCCTAACTATTGATTTGACCACTCTAACTTCCTTTGACTCCCTCCTACCCCATTAGACATTCCACATCTCTGTGGGAAATGGTCAGAGATGCATAACATATGTCCCAACTTCATTAGTCATGAAGATTCATACTCATCAATTGATTTATCATCGTTGTTTGATATCTCAGTTCTAACCTCACTATTGGTCACCCAGTCTTTGTACGATACGCTAGCAATGTTTCAACATAGAACTTTGTACGTACGTACATCAGTTCGAGTTGCCATACCACGTTAGCACAGAGATGCAGTTGTCGATTCAAGTCCCGTAGTGGTAGAGGTAGTACAAGTATAACCAGTAATCGGAAAGATTAGGGTTTGAAGTTATGATTCAAGTAGTATAATCCAGTGAAATAAATTTGGAAAGAGAAAGAAAAGGGACACAAAGAATTCAGGGGATTAAAATTTGGGAGAACACAAGGAGTTGATGCACCTGAGCCACTGCAAACGATTTTGAGCCATGTCATTCAAGGTCCCTAACCATCGGTTGCTATCATCTCGCGGTCCCCAACCAGGTAGTCTACACCTACCAACATGGCTCAGTCCACTTGTCAATGACTTCACGGTTTTGTGTCATGTTTTGATCTGGCCGCCCCTAGCTTTCTTCCATCCTACTCCTACACCATGAAACATCGCACGTCGAGGCAGTCGGTAGTTGGGCATACGTAACACGTGTCCTAGCCATCCCAACTGAAGGAATTTCACTAGTTCATCAATTGATTTGCCATCCTTACCCAGTACCCGTTTCCTAACAACTGTGTTACTTACTCGATGGTCCCAGGATATACGAGCAATGTTTCGAAGACACCTACGCTGTGATCAAATTACAATAAATAACCATTTAAAGTCCTCAAATAGACAAGTATTAAAGATCATGCTGTTAGTTAACCTATTTAGGACAAAGATGGGACTATTATTCACTATCAGTTCAACTTGCCTCCAGCCACTCATTTGTTATCCACACCCTGAATTGGAAGTTGACATGAATTCCCTAGCTTTTAGCAAGTTTTAAAAGGCTGTAATTAATCTAAAGCCAGGGAAAGTAGCTTGTTCAGATGAACCAGCCCCAGAACTCTTTAAAATGGTGGTCCAAGTGTGGTAGTTAAATTGACTGAGAACTCAGCTAGAATCTGGGGTCTAGACGTAATCCTATATGACTGATTTGGATCTCTGATCGTCTCAGTTTATACGAAGTGACAAAAGTCCTTTTGTGACAATCACAGAGGAATCAATTTGATTATTTAAAATACCAGATTCAGTAAGAATCGGATGCTTTATCAGGGCTCATAAAGAGCAGACCCGAAAAAACCAGGCTGGTTTCAAACCTGGAAGCGGATGTATCAACCAAATATTCGCCCTTCGCAGATTCTAGAAAATAGACGCACTTTTCGACCACAATTATATTCCTCACTGGAGAATATTTTTAGGTTTCTAGTTTTATATCATACATGTTCTTACTTGTGTGTGTTGTTATCACTGAGTGAGGAATGTTGAAGCCATAGTTGACCAGGTAGTAGTATTGGATTCTAATTGATTGAAATAGTTGGGATATGTATTATGTACGCTCAGTAGCTGTTTACCTCAATACACAATGGGGGTTGACGTGGTATTAAGTTAGAAGAAAATTAGGGGCGGCCAAACCAAAACATAGTATCAGTTTATTAAAATGCTGACTGTTGAACTGATTCATTTAGGTAGGTGCACATTACCGATTTGGAGTCCACGCGATTATCGCAGCTACTGTCTGGAAACATAAAATGACGTTTATTCTTCATCTATTTAAACATGTAAACATTGGTTCAAAGGGGCACCATGATATATATATGGGCCACACAAATCGCTTGAACCAATGTATATGTGAGCTATTGATCTCGTTTACATTGTTAATCTTAGTGTAATAGATCTGGAATGCTTTACACATACGTTTGATAGCATAGTGGTTTGTTTACGATTTAAAAAGATTTATCTTACTCATTTATTGTATGTAGTACACATGTGTTGAAGAAATTAAAGTAAGCCTTATTTAGCATATACCTTGGATTCGAACTCTGTGAAATGGTTTCTTGCTTGTTTATCGTATCGGGTTTTTGGGAAACAACGGAATGAACCGTAGGTTATAAGAATGACCTCTATAAAACACAAATACTTGTAATGCAAGGTAGCTACTGTATTGTATATGTTGTCTGTTTCTTATTGTTGTTCGTTTTTACTGTGCCTTTGTTGATGTTATTGTTGTTGTTATTTTTCTTCAATATATTTTTCTCTTTGTCACACTGCAATTTATGTGGATCACTAAATATCAATCAACTAATTACTGGTTTAGTGCAAAATAATCTGTATTATATTGGTTGTTGTTATCTCCATATTGATCCTGATCTCATTAGCTTCCGCAATCGGTTTAACACGATGATCAACAGTTTACTTAGTATATAAGGATGAAGTTTGAAAACAACGAATTTCAGTTTGCCAAATTTTATCGTTATACTCTCAATTCAAATCAGTCGAGGATTAATTACAATAATAATATGCATGATGCGTGCGTATACAAACACATCTCATTTACTCCTATCTTGTTTATTGTGTACAGAAAAGATTGGAAAATGATGCGCCAAACCAATCGTTCTTTTAATTTTTACTCACTTGAGATACTTGCTTTTTTGTACAAAACCAATTACGATAATCGCATTGATTATCACAATAAATAATTTTATCATTATCATTTTTATTGTAGCTATCTTTTATGTTCCTAATTACTTCATTTTTCAAGCGTATCAATAAAAAAATATATATACTCCCGCCAAATCCTTATTGATTGCTCGTTTTGCACGAGGTAAATTTTTTTATTTACTATAGTGTATCAGTAGAAAGTTGTTTCCCAGACAGTATATGACTAAAGTATTTTCTATTAATCAGTTGATAAATTCTGTTTATCTTATAACAGCGGTGTTTATCAAACTTTTTATCAGTCGAATAGTAACTTGAAATAAGTTGTATAAGGAATTTTCAAGTTAGTTACCTAAGATTGTTGAGTCCCATGCAAGCTGATAAATTTCAGCCAGTATTCATTGTTTTTGGATTTTGATGAAGTTTGTGCTTCCAGGCCTCTTAGCAGTTCTGTGATGGTAAAACGCGGAGAAAATCGATGTCGAAAAAATACTCACAATACTATATGATCTGACATCTGACAGGATATCAAAATCGGAGAATATGGTTATAAACTAGTTTTGCAAAGTACACCTATGGCGCAGTCATGATTGGAAAAGACGTTAAAACTAAGTTCTTTAATGTTTAATTGACAATATAAAAGTTTTTCGATTCGTCTCTTTACCTTTAATTTGTTGTTGGTCTGTAACTAACCATTTTAATCTTTGAGGTTGATTTAGATGTCTACGTTATCAACCTTGGAACCCCTAGAAACTGATGGGTTTGTGACTAGCGAAATATCGGCACTGACACTAAAAAGCTTGCTTAACTTCAGTTGATTTGTGGGAGAATCACTAAGTTCTTCATTGTTAACCCAAAATATTTAGTAATTAGTCGACTTTACATGCGATTGAATTTTGAACTTAAGTCAAATATTTTATTACCTGGATTGGTTGATCTGTTGGGAACCCAACACACACAAGCATGCCTTTTAACATCCTAGCCGGTGAAATAGACATATATAAGATAGCGTGAGTAGGCTGATAGAAATAACAATTTGTTACTAAATCCGAAATATTACAGCATTTATTGAAAGTAGGTTATTCGTCATACGTCTAGAAAAGTACGCTTTTGATTATTCGTAAAGCAAAGGGATAGAGTGTAGTATGCACCCTTTTAGTAGTCGCGCCCTTTTGAACGAACACCATATACATATTGAGCAGATAATTTATCATTCAATATTTCTAGTCAAAACTCTCAACTAAAACTTTAAACGGAATTAATCTATGGTAAAATATTCTGTATCTGATCTGATGATTCTAAATATTTGGTAAGTAGCTGACTTGTATACTTTAGTCGATGCTCGTACGCTAAAATTTCATCATGCAATGATAGATTTTTCTCAGTATTTCTGACTATTGATTGCACTTATTGTCAAGCATGTAAAACGTTTCTAACATTGTTTATGCCTAGTTTCGAAAATTTCACTCGAGTTCTTATCTGCGTATATAGAATGAGTGTCATGTAGCTTGAGGCCAAATTCTCAAACTAAAGCGCTAACACCCAGTATACTACTGTCATTTACTTGAGTTGTTTATAGATAAAACTTGAATTCTTTGCCGTTAGATTTCTTCGTTTCAATAACATAAAGTGTAAAGATTCTAAAATTTTCTAGTTCTGTGATTACAAAATGAGTTAAAATTACTTACATAAAAGAGTTTAGTTGCAAGTTCTTTAACATCATTGTGTTTTTTATTTCAACTATCTTACGGATTAGTAATCTTATTAACTGTGCAACAAACCCAAGGTCCGAAGGCGAAGTTGTACTGCTGACTGTACAGAGGTGTGACGGCAGTAAGACAACCAGCATGACAGCGATACTGCCTTCCCACAAGGAGGGGTGGGGTTAGAGAAGGTCGACCCTAAACATGCACACCTCGCCTTATCCCACGGATATCCGTCTCCGGCGGTAAGGTCTCAACAAGTACGGAGCTAACACGAAAACTACCCTTAAAATGGTCGTGTGTGACCGACCTCAAGCAGTTGTCCCTTGGGCACTGCGGTCACGCTCCCAGGTCACTAAGACCACCTCTATTCCAATTTCCTTTTCAGGTACCTCCAGAAGAACACTTCCACGGTGTGGGCAACCGGGAAGTGATAACCTCCCTCATACCTCTAACAGCACTCAAGACCACTGTATTCTTTTTATTCCTATTAGCGCTTACTCATCATGTAATCATTTGTTTCTGGCTGTTTTACCTCTTGTTACAATCAATGTTGTAGAATGTTCTTTTACATAAAGCATATATTCATGATATTCAGTCTATTAAATTTACTATGCTAATGTGTCTTCAAAATAACGTACAATTAAACGTTCATGTATGTCATTTTAACCCTTTTTGTAATTATGTTTTTAAATATCACATTTTGTAAGCACCTGACGAGAACCAAACGAAATAAAGTGAATTCATGATGTCCTGCTAGAATCTTTGTTCTTGCTCTCTTCGAATTTTATTCCAATCTATTCCTTAAACACAAGAATATGCAGGTAGGCCTTAATTAGCTTGGTTACTTGGGCCTTTAGCTTTTAAAGTCTTGGCATCATAGGTAGGTTATTCCCTTTTCATATTCGTTTTTTGTCACTATGATATCTCATACCTTTGTGGGAAGGTTTAGATACTTTTGTCAAAATGTTTCTTGAGACGCGATGGTAATTCATCTATATTGATCATTCTAAGCAAAACAGTTTTAGTAATGTTCGTAATGTGAATTATCCCATGATGCATACAATAAGTATCCGTAAAATCAACGATCTAGATTCTGTTTATATAATTAACCGTGCTTTCTCATACAATTAGAATATTTCATGTAATATCTGTTATATCTAAGTGACAATTAAATTATAGATAAATTCCGAAAACTATTAATGAACTAATATTATATATATTCTTATTGTATAACTGTTCAGTAACTAGATTATGTAATATTTATATTTCTCTTATTATAAGCTCCATTTTGAACTATAGATTATTATTACTATACGATTTACTATTCTTAATTTATGTTCAGTTTATTAATTAAAGTCTCCCACGTTCACAGCTACTTTTTGGCTTGATCTTGTATGAATGTTATTTCATGTTTGATGGTATGATGCGGTCTTTTTCGCTGGTATATAAATCAAGTATGTTTGAAATGAATGATCGATGTAGTGGAAGTTGTTATTGGTGTTCTGGACTCAAATGGACGGGCTAGGCGAATAAAGGACCAATAAGGACACTAGGATGCTCATACGGGCCGAATGTCATTGGTTTAGCACAGTACTAATGTTGAATAAGTTGTATTTCGATTGGCGAATAAATTACGTGATAACTATCCAGCTTTGAAGTCACAACAATGTCTTTAGTAGGTCAAAAGTCAACGCATTTATATCATAAAAGTTGTATATTTTACATCTGAACTGGTAACTCATTTTATTGTTAATTACTGATTGGTTGTTAGATCTTTAACTTTTTCTTTTTGAACGATTTATTTTCATTGTTGTTACTTTAGTCCCAAGACCTTTCTATCCGTAATGCATAGGAAGATTTTCTTCCCAGACAATCATGCACAATGTCAGCCATTCGTACAATTTGATCATTGATTTACATGAGTACTGTTTTAATTGTTCACTTGAAATTTCTAAATGAAACGTTTAATTTTTATTTTAGAATAAAACAAAACTTGTAAAAGCTTTCAGCGTTTTCATTCTATATGAAAACAATCTACTGTATTTCTTTAGCTGATTAAATTAAAGGCAAATTACTTAGACATTCCTAAGAAAATAAATGTACTTGTAAAATATTTGTATGTTCCGTCAATGTGAAGTTATTATTTATAATCTGCAGAAATAGCTTTCTTGGAAAGTTGCGGAATACTAGATACATACTTATTTACTTCAATGGGAATTTATATCTGTATGATTCTTTTATATAATGATATTTTAACGGTGGGGACTTGAAAAAAAAGAATACTAAACTCATTTTTCTACTGCGATTAAGATATTTCACAGATTAATGTTCTCTTACTAAAATACAAACCAAGTGGTAATATATTAGAGTGGTAACAACAATTCATACAATAAATCAGAACTATATAAATAGTGCTAAATTAAGTGTCGCTACACATTATGACTTATTTTGTGAGATTATTTGTATAATTGGGTCGGTATTATTGTAAATTATATAATATGGTTAAATATGTTTCACAGATTTTTACCCAGAGCAAGATCAACAAGGTTCGCAGAATAAAGTGAATCCATCATATTTCACGATTTCTTATCAGCTGCATGCAACTCAAAATTACAATTCTTAACATATGATTATCAGTATGAGGATTTATGAAGATCGCCATATTTTCAAGTTGAATTCACGAGTCGATCTAAGCTAGACCACCATTGAAGACCTGAGAACACTGGATGGCCGTTTCTAGTATGGGACTCCTCAGTAGTGCACATCTACAATCCTACACGTCAAACTTGAATCCAGGACCTTTGGTCTTGAGCGTGGACGCTTAACCTCTAGATCAATGAGCTGGCATCCAACGGTGTTGATGTCTAATTTCAATCGATCCATGATCATACACAACCCTTCATTCATTGTCTGAGGTGGACAACTGTCTCACATTCGACACGGATTGGACTTCACTGCACTGGTTACCAAGTCCCATACCAGGACAAAACGGTCGTCCAGTGCTACCAGGGGAATTCAATCCGTGTCGACAGTTATCCACATTATCTATTTAATATTATTTCAACACAAACATAGGCACAAGAAGGCAACAGATAGATATGCGCCACATAAATCATTCGATTTGTGTGAGGGCTAGGATACTGCCCGAGTGCCCAAACGGTCAAGGTTAAGCGTTCACGCTCAAGACCAAAGGTCCTGGATTCAAGTTTGATGTGTAGGATCGTAGATGTGCACTACTGAGGAGTCCCATACTAGAAACGGCCATCCAGTGTTCTCAGGTCTTCAATGGTGGTCTAGCTTAGATCGACTCGTGAATTCAACACACATATTATTATTAATAGATGTCTAGCTTACTTTAGTTCGCGAAGTTTAGATAAGTGTTCGAAACGTAACCAAAATTACAATAATAGTGAGAAGAGTGGGGGTAATGTGTGTATGAATTAACATAGTTAATATCGGTGTGTATTTATATGCTGAAAATTAATAATTGAAAGGTTATGTAAAGATAGTGAAATTAATAAGTGATAGGATAGTCACATCATAATCATATAATAAATCGACTCAGTGGTTGGCCAAATTACTAGAACCAATTCGTAGAAACCTGTTGACTAGTTGTTTTAACGATACATTTCAGTTTTTCAAAGAAATAGATCAGTTCAATATCTGATAAACTCATGGTATCTTTTAATGTGCGTTCATTATTCACAAGTATATCGTTAGAAAGAGCTACTAATATGATTTGCGAACAATCTAGATTTTTTTTTGCCTCAAAATCAGTTTAGTAAATTATTACTACTTTGCACAAAAAGGGTTCATTTTCCAATCCAACAATCAACTACACAAGTAAACCGATGGAGTGTCCATGGGATAACCACTAGGACATGTCTTGGTCGATATTTTCACGACCGATCTAGAAATAAAGAAATCCAGAACACAAAATACTACTCAAGATATGTTTATTATCTGTGATGATATGGACCACGCTTCTCGGTTACTTAGTCACTTCAATAATTCTCATCTCAACATAACGTTTACAATGGAATATAAAAGAGATAACCAATTCAATTTTTTAAATGATGGAAGTCTTGAAAAGAAACAAGGACAGGACAGTGTTGAACTTGAACAGCTTCAGTCCTATCAGTTACAAAGGGCATCTAATCAAAACTCTTCAATAGAGATCGGATGTTATGCTCAAACAGGCAAATAAATGAGGAGTTGGCTATTCTAGAAAAGCATCTCATAAAAAATGGATACCTGATGAAGTTCATTACGAAATGCGGAAAAGAATAACCCAAAGATGATAAACAGCAAGCTGAAAGAAGAAAACCTATCTTCATGCGCATTCCGTTCAATGGTGATGAGGTTTCAGGAAGAATCGATGGAAGAGTCAAGGTGGCACTAAAAATTAACTTCTCTGTTGCTCAACAGTTTTCACTATACAACACCAAGTGTTCATTAAATCTTTCAAAGAGAGATCAAAACCCTACCGATGTCATCTCCAAAAGCATTTATGGATTTACATGTACCTGCGTTGGCAACTACTTAGGAAGGACAGAAGAAATGGTCTCTACAAGGTTTTATGAACAAATTCCTAGGAACCTACGACTGAAAGCTGGTAAAGTCTTTACAAGTGCAAATGCCAGACTCTTTTTGGATAGTAGACATGAGGTAAATGTAAGTAATGTATTTGAAATAATTAACAGACAAGAAACACCAACCTTACATCTTTCGGCGAAGGCCATCAAACGTTGTTACTGACTGACCTGACCTATGTATACTGAAGGAAATGTGATTAGCCTTTCCCAATTATGGTGATTTGTGTTTCGTCTAATAAGTTTTATTAATCTTAATTTAAAATCCTTTTTTCAACACTATCCCCAACCTTTTATCTTTGTTTCATTTCGGCTTCTGATATTCATCTCCTAAATAATCTTATTGACCACATATTTGTTTATTTTATCATGTTAAGCGGCTACCCAATCACCTATTAATTCCATTACGTTTACATAACCTCTGAATTATTACTTTCCGGCATATAAATACACATCTACCTTAACTATATCTATTGAAATAACATTCAGTTTCCTCCCTTACACTAATGGAACACTAATTTGCCATACACGAATATTTACACTGGTTACCCTCTCAGTGTCTATTCTACTGGAAGTTGATACAACTCGGATCAAAGTGAATGGCTTAACTAGAACGTGAGTATATTTCCACGTCAACAACCGACAACAATAACAATAGTTATAAGAGTAGGGAAATATATAACACATCTAATACCTGTCAGACTACCTACTAGTCTGACTAGTTAAAAAACTAATCATTATTTTCCTCGCCCATACATCATTCGTTCATAAATTTTGTATCCCTAATCTTTTCACTTTTATTATGATTTTGGTTACGTTTCGAACATTGATCTAAACTTCACAAATTTAAAGTATGCTAAACATCTATTAATAATCATACATGTATTAAGAATTGTAAATTTAAGTCGCATGCAGCTGATGAGAAATGGTGAAATATAATGGATTCATTCTATTCTTCAAACTTTGTTCTTGCTTTGTTTAAATTTATCATGGGATCTGGTTGTACAAGATTTTTAAACGTTCATAAATTCTAAGCAAAGATGGATGGTGGCTAGCAGTGGAGTCCAGGACGCGCGCTACACCCTACCTGGGACTCTCCAGATAAATGTACCTACATCCTATAGTTGATGTTCACTCCGGGACTTGAACGTAATACCGTTCGCTTCAAACACCATCGCGCTGTCCATTTAGCTATTGAGTCCTGATAGTCGTTATCTTGTGTAATGGGTTGAAGTGTAAATTCATTTTGTATTGTTTGTTCGAACTTTCCCACTGATGTTCAGGACTCCAATTGATCAGTCTCTTGTTGGGATATGTGCATCCTATGTGGATTGCCTCGATATTGCCTTAAGTCACAAGCATTATAAGCAAAGATGAATGGCGGTTAGCAGCGGAATCCACGACTGATCAATTGCATTCCTGAACATCAATGGGATGATTCAAACAAACAAGACAAAATGAATCGTTTATAAATTTTCTTAAACTTTTTTATTCCAGTAGTAAAATAGGTTATTCAAATTGATTCATGTTTGAGTTCTTGTCATAGAAATATAGATAAAAACTAAAACAACACAAGGTCAAGCTCTTCATTTATTGATAACTTACTTTCATAGATTTCATTTAACCGCGATTTTTGTGAAGTAATTAGCTGTTGTTCACCAACGAATGGATCATAATCCACAATCGATTCATGAATACCAGCCATCATTGAATCTGAAAGTTTGAAAATATTTTCCTGATTCAAGGATTCATCTCCTTGAGAACGATTCAATAACAAGATGACGGTCCAGAGTAGATAAATTTCAGAATTACAAAGTTGTATTTCATATCTTTTTATATTTCTGAAGAGCTTTTTGGAGTTAACAGAAACAGTTTAAATAAATTAGATAATATTTTTAGTTCATTTGAATTATAAATAACTCGACAAATTGAAATCATACTTAGCAAAATCCTAAAGATAAATTTCAATTTAAGTATTAAGAATTCGAAAGACACCTTTTGGTTCAGAATGACTGTGTGGATGAGAGAGTAAGCAACCTTGCCTAACACCGGTCTCCACTTCGAACGACTTTGTCAACTGTCCTCCATGCACGATTTTGCAGTGTAATCCATCATATGAATTCTGTATGATATTGACTATCTTCTGAGGCACGTCGTAATGTCGAAGAAGCTTCCATAGTGTTGTTCTGTCCACGCTATCAAATGCTCTCCATAGTAGTTCCTTCTCCATTGAGTAGATCATGAAAGGCCGGAAACTTGTTGCTGAGGTCTATCTTGAATTTGTTGAGTTTGTTAGTATCCTGAAGAAAGGCCGTATTGAACTTTAGTGATATTGTCCGCTTCATTGTCCAGTGCTTCTTGAGTTTCAATTTCATCTTGGCGACCAGCAAGTGATGATCTGATGCTATATCAGCTCCTCTCTTGTTTCTCACATCCTCTATAGTCCTCCTGAACGTTTTGTTGATGCAAATATGGTCGATTTGGTTTTGTGTAGTGTGATCCGGTGAAGTCCATGTGGTTTTGTGTATGCGTTTATGTGGGAATATGGTGCCGCCTATGACCAGTTTATTTAAGGCACATAGGTTTGCAAATCTCTCACCATTTTCGTTCCTTTCTCCCAGTCCGTGTCGTCCCATGATGTCTTCATATCCAGTGTTGTCCGTTCCAACCTTGGCGTTGAAATCTCCCATCAGAATAGTCAGGTCCTTTGTTGGGCACTTCTCGATGATTGACTGCAGCCTATTGTAGAATTGATCGTTAGCGTCTTCATTGTAGTCGTTGGTAGGCGCATAGCATTGGATGATGTTCATTGAAATGCCCTCTTTCTTTGTTTTGAAGGTAGCTTTCATGATCCTTGGTCCATGAGATTCCCATCCTATAAGTGCCTTTTGTTCTTGTTTGGACAGCATCAATGCAACTCCTTGTGTATGTGGAGCATTTTTATTTATCGTCACACTAAATACTCAAGCAAATCTCATTTAGGTTACTCTAATTAGAAATAAATAGGTAACATCTGATCGGTTATCAATCTGACTAAATAAAAATTTATCTTTGACTGATTATACAAAATTGAAACCTGTTTCAGAAAGTGATTATTCAATAAATTACAACGAAATTGTTGAAGCCTTCTGGAATAGGTTTAGCACACAACCAACAAAATCATTTCAATCAATACTATGCAGACCAAATGACGAAATGACAAAAGAGGAAAAGCCCAACATCATCTACAAAATAAATTATTCTAATTACGAAAAACACTACATCAGACAAATCGGACGCCCTCTTCATCTTCACCTGAACGATCATCAACTAGCGATCATACTCCATGACATATCCTCGCTTATATCAATACATGTGGACACGCATTCAAATGGAAAAATGTTGAGATCTTGGATAAAGGCTATTCTGAAAACACCAGAGACTTTTTAGAAGCTTGGCACTCAGGTCAGTCAGCGATCGATAAGCACATTGAAATCGATCCAACTTATCAACTAATCAGAAAAATTATGGACAAACGTAGGTCGAAGAATCAAATCAATGGGAGATACAATCAAAATAAAGAAGTGAACAATGACAGGTTAAAGGTCAACTGTAACCAATCAAGATCGAGGTCTACAGGACAAGCTGTAACCATATGTAGGGAAATTTAAACACGTTAATTCTACGTAAAGTTTTTGCCGATGATATTGTTCAGAATAACGATGAAAGCTCCACGATCAAACCAAATCAGAGAACAAAATTCCACCCAAAACTGAGTTTCTTAAATAAAAGTATATAATACTCCACTGTACCATGAATAATTTTATTTCAACTGGTTACTGTCGTAATGGTTCGACATAGCGCTAGCAAACATAAAACGATTAGAGACCTGACTAAAATGTGAGATAAATGCTTTGACTTGCAAAAAAAGCTTGACTGTTTTGATTGTTTAAAATATTTATATGTGATAATTTACTGTGAGAACCAGACATTATATCACACGTGATAATACACATACAATCGTTATGAAATTCAATTAATAAAGATAGACAACCATCAATATAATGAATGTCAAACGAAAAGAATGGTGGGGAACGCTGTGGCGCGTGCTACTTATATTGATGTAAGTAGTATATGACATGAGTTAAAAACAATGTCTGGCAGCAGAAGATGGGGGAAGATCAAGAAAGGAAGCACGACAACACAATGCAATTTGTAAGAAAACGCATGAACAATGAAACGTGAGACATTGGTTCGATATTTGCAACAGGAACAGTCTAGGTTGATATGATGCATTGGTATTTTGCAAATTGACGATTTACTATATGGTTTTTCTTATTTGACCAAGTAACTCTGTAGTTTTGTGCTAATTACAATTCGATTGTCCCCACCCGTGTTCTGTTCACTGCAACGCGACATTCAACTAATCGAATATATTCTCAAAAAAGTTATATTCCGAGTTTATTGGTAAATAAGACATACTTGATTTACAAATAGATTTCGCACTAGTCCTTTGTCCTTTATCAACAAGACACAATAAAATTAAGAAGGAATATATTCAAGAAGGGATTATTTTACAGTGAAAAATAAAACCACATATTAAGTATATTTTTTATTAAATTTAAGCATGAAAATACAAGTAACTAAGTAAACGACCATTACTCAAGATTCGACCAATAACATCAATACATTTTGTATTTCTATTCACATTCTCAAGTCGTATGATTTGACTTGATTTCCTTCATATATATTGGTCGGTTTAAATTGTTTGTCGTTCCGAAACCTAATTGAGCGGTTAGAAAAACGTGTCTGCTTATCGGCATATAACTTTCTTCTGTAATTCGTTTCATTGTTTAGTCACGAGAAAGTTCACATCTTTGGTTGATGACGATTTATTTGTTCGTTTTTCCATTTAAAACCATGACAAGTGACAATAAATAACAATCACTTTCGAAGTATATATCTCAAAGTTCAACTGTTCACTAAATACAACATTTTACCAGTTCAAGGTGTTCTGACATTAGACATAATCCTTATGGTTTGAAATAAAGTTTATATAACCTAATTCATCATTGTCATCAATAATTTATGATTTAATAAACTTACATCTTTATCAATCTTTAAAGTTAGAAGACTCAGTTCCATTTTTGCTAATTTTTTCACAATAATTTTGGGTATAAATTTGTTATTTTCATCTATCCAGTCAGACTTAACTTCTTCAATTTGTGAATTAATTTCAGTTTCTTCTTGGTTTTTTGATATAATATTGTATTCGTCTGCATTATTATACTGACCATATGTATCTACTCCTGTATAAATCACTAACTGTTCATAACCTTCTTGAAAATGTATTAAACTTTTATGTAAATAATCTAATTTATGTTTATTAAGGAAGTTTAAACAACACACATCAATAACACCGATCACTTTATTATTGCAATCAGTAAATGGAAATGTATAATGTTTTCGACCAAGTATGCAATTAACTAATGAATATCCAGATTCTAGTACGTCGAACAGGTAGTAGCTGAAGATTAACAACAAACCAATAATGACGATTAAGTGAGGGAATACACAGAATTTTAGGTAGATATCCTTTAAATAATTAACAGTTAAATATAGCTGTCTCAAAATTATGCAAATTACCATATAAAAAATATTCAGTAAGTGGAAACTAATCATACTGATTAGCAGTGCTTGCAAGGTTATTCAAGATGAGTTAACTCCGTGTCATTCATTTTTTCGGCTTATTATTTGGCCCATATTTCTTTGATTGAATAAATATTAGACACAATTTTGCATACTTACAGATAACTTCATTGTTATTTTTGTTTATAGTTAATCTGAATTAATATTAAATTCATAATAAAGGTTTATTATAAGTAATCTCAGTTAATAGTAATTAGTATCCAATAGTTATATTCAAACAGATATACATCATCTAAGTATAGTGCAATACAGATATAAATGTATATGAAAGAATACTCAACGTTTACTAGTAACACCAGAAATAATTCAAATGATATATCAATTTAAATGCAAGGATTAATTGGTGAAATAAGCATGAAAATTTATTTTCTTTGGTAACCTGCCTTTATTCATGTGGAAAGTTTATCAATTATACTTTTTTCATCAATGTTAATGTAACAAAATAAAAGCACTTTATCCATTATTAATTTTTGTCAGTTTGAATAATCTGTGGTTAGCAGATAAAATATAAACAACATAGAAGAACTGAAACTGTAGTTACAAGTCATGAGTTAACATGTTTACGTTATATTAGGTTGAAGCAGATATATATTCAAGGAATATATAGTGAATTTACTAATATCATATACCTGCTTTATCATGACTTTTTATGTCATATAAAATAAACAAACTAGATTTTACATTTTTTGTTGATTAATATTGTTTCATACTATTCCTTATCTCAATGTAAAATTCTATTGTATATTTGGTTGTAAGCAGCTGATGAGAAACCTCGAAATAAAATGAATTCATACTATTCTGCATTAATATTTGTTCTTTATTTAAATTCATAAAGGGAACGGATTACATGACATTAATATTGTGTCCATTGAACATAGTAATGTTGAAAATAAATGGAATTATACCAAATTATTGAATGAAATTTAACGTTTTTCAACATATGAATTTGCACATAAATTTGGCATTAATATTTAAATAGAACACCACATATTAGGTTTATAAATGAATTAGAAATTTATACTTTTATTGTTATCCCTAACTGTAGGCTAATAATGTTTATTAAACGGTACATAAATGAGTGTCAGATACCGAAATTTGGGTATAAAATTAAAATTTCTTTTCTACAAATTTGTATAACATCAAACAGTATTAGCATTACAGTTCTCAGATTTTGAAGAAAAAAATAAAAGACGCAAATTATATACCAAGCAAAAATTCGTATACTCAACTTTGAGTTACATTTTCTAAGTATGAAAATTAGTATTACTATTCAACTGTCGAAACGAAAACAGGTATCTCATTGTTTGAACCTACCTCAGAGTGATTGTGAATGTTAACAGTAAATAATGTTTTTTATGCTAAATTAAAAATAATAATTTCAGTATAATCTAAAGATAACTGAGAATTTTACAAACAAAATGAAACTATGATAATTGTATTATATCAAGTAGAAAATTATTATAAATCTAGTAACTGTTATTTCTGGCATTAATCACTCTTTTATAAACTAATAGGCTAGTTTTTTAGTGTGAACAAATGGGTATTTATTTAGCGATCTGAGTTTATTACTCATAAATAATATCATTATCAAGTTAAAAATAAGTGTCGACCTATATTTCTGATTTAATTTATGAGAATGATTGAGTAACAAACATTTATGAATGAGGTCACTACAGCAAAGCAAGATCGATAGCTGAATTATTTTGGATGAGTAAATTTGGTTTAAATCTTTTATGGCAATTGATCCGGCAAACTATAGTAAATTCTATGTTTTTTTTGTTTGCTAATAATCTTGAAAGAATCTGAAGCATCAACATTATGACGAATGTCAAGCAGATAGAGTACAATAGCACTGTTTAAAAACAACTTGTCCTCTTAATTTAAGCTTCTGTACTTAAAGAGGCGAACACTAACCTTCCTTTCTGTTTTTTCGATGTCGAGCTTTGGTGATCTCACTTATAAACATATGTTACGCAATTCTCCTCATGACATTAATCATTAGTCCCTACTTCTTTTCTGATGAGTACTCAGTCAGTTTCATTCAAAGTTCTACACAACTATAGGATTGACATCTCATTTCCAAATAATTCTATTTCTATGCCCTTAGTTTTGTATTCTAGAATAATTTTGCATTCAACGTATAAATATTCACATTTAAACATCTCTTACAGTTATTCCATATTTGTTGCTCTTTTCATTAACCTTCATTGTGGAGGAATTTTCCGATATTATGATATTTAAAGTATGTAAGCTGAACATTATATTTCATTAAACAAGAGATGATTTCTGAGGTATGTACACAATATACATTCACCATATAATTAAGAGTTATAATCTCATAGATTATATTAACCTTTTATTATAAAACTATGTAATCTAACCCACAGTTTACGGTTACAATTTATGACTTTCTAGTCAATAAAATTATTTAATGATTGTATAATCAGATTGTCTTTTATCTTAAACTTTTGTTCAATTCAGTTAAAATGTCAGGGTATTGAATTTGACTGTATTCTTGTTGGGCCAAGAAACTTTATTGATCGAAAATAACTTGGCAAATATTAATTTCCTGTTTGCAGACAGATTTTATTGATAGTCAGTTTATCATGTTAAATTTAACTGTATGGGTTTGTCACTCATTTAAATTTGGCTTAAATATAAGTAAAATGGGTACCTTTTTCATCACATTATCGGATGATAGAAGTTTTTTGAAATCATTGACAATCGTCATCGGAATTCGAAGTCACTTTTAATATTCTGAAATACAATGAGTCTCGTTTGCTGACAATTACAAATGTAGCGTTCTTAAAACTTTTACTGTAGACGAACATGAAAACATAAATTTAATTAAACTTACCCTACCGTGAAAAACTACTACTGTTATGATCCAGTCAGTCAGCTACAATGTAGGACCAGGCACATATATGCATCCGTCCAAGTTGCCATACCTCATCAGCACAGCAAGATGAACACCAGATTCATAGAAGCAGTTAAGTCAACGGTGGTAATATGTATGAAGAGAGAGTTAACGAGTACTTACGATTCTCAAAAGACAATTACTTTCTCTAAATAAGTGACATCGGAATTTTGATGACGTACTACAATCCGTGCAGTGGGATTAAACGATGTTTGATTAGAATAGAACGGTATTTTAACTAGATAACTCTCCAATACAAGGTTTGTAGTGTAAATAAATCGCTGAAATTTCTTAAAGTTGGTATTCCTTCTTAATGAGCACCACGTAATGAGATTATTTCAGCTTAAACTTTCAAATTATTGACCTGAATATAACAAATTGTTTATTAATTAAATAAAGCCATTTGTTATAATTATGCTCTTCTTTCAACTATCATAATAATCAATCTAAAGTATGACTATCATTTTGTATATAATTTCATTTATGTTGTATTTATAAAACAACTAAACAAAAGTGCAAAACATTGTGAACGTAAGATCACAAGTTTAATTATGATACTTTTCAACTATTTGTCATTACAATGTTAATTCAAACTGTTAACGCTAGTAAAATTCTCAGTGAATTCAATAATTCACAATTAGATATTTCTTTAATAAACTGAAATAATAATTCTCTGTTTTTATAATGTACTGAAGATTTAAAACTCAAGAAAAATGTTTATAATGAAATTAATTTCTGTGATCTGAATGACTTATTCGATCAAAGACTACAATTTCATTAAAATCTCTTGTTTAATACTCTAGCTGGATAAATCAGAAAGTAATATGAATAAATGTAATTGATCCTCATTTTTTGTTCCCATACTTTCTGATTAGATTTAGGCAACCATTAAAAGTGGTGTACTATTACACTTAAACTCCGTTTTTTTTTTAAATTTTAAAGCTGATTGAAATCGCTGACTTGTATGGTAGTAATTAGTTATAATCCTCTAAAGTAAACAGTACAAGTAAATTTAAAGATAAATGTAAGTCATTACCTAATTCTAGAAGTTAACCATAGGTAATTATTATAATTTATAGGTAACCACTAATTATTTTAACCCATCCATAAATTAAACTTTAATTTGTTTACTCTTAGTATTCAAAATATAATGATTAGTGGATAAGATACATTTTTTTGTATACTTCATAGAATGACAATAATTATAGTTATAACAGTTCAAATGAAGCTTATAATAATTCTTTGTTCCTGTTTGTCATCAATTTATTCAAAATAATTTTCTCCTTCGTCGTGATTATTTTCATCCAACAAGATAATATGGTTGAGATCATGAGTCAATTGAAGCCAGACCACCATGGAAAACTTGGAAGCACTGGACGGCCGTTTCGTCCTATTGTGGGACTCCTCAGCATTGCGCTAGTAACTCATTGAAGACATTGGTGTATGTATCGCTCAAGTTCGTGGATTGGTTGAATTTAGATATTAGCACCATTGGACACCACCTCAGTGGTCTCGCGGTTAAGCGCTCGTGTGCGAGACTGATAGATCTTGGGTTCGAATCTCGTGATTCGAGGTCATGGATGCGCACTGCTGAAGAGTCTCACGATAGAACGAAACGGCCGTTCAGTGCATCCAGGTTTCCCATGGTGGTCTAGCTTCAATTGACTCATGACCTCAACCATTGAAATTACTATAATATCCGCAAATCCTTTCTGATAAAAATAACATAGTTTTCAATTAGTTTGTTTACCACCAAGATAATTGCTGTTTGTAACAACTCATTATATTTTTCTGTACACTAATTTCTTCTATCAATTTAAGAAATCATTTACTGTTAGTCTGAGCTGTGTTGAATAGTTCAAAACTTCTGGTTAAATTTTATGAGTTAATTATAATTTATTATTGAAGAAAATATTCAGATCGTTCAAAATCGTTAAGAACGTCTGAGATGTATTTCTTTAAATGTCAAGATTAACAATTCTTCATGCTTGTCATATATTAGTTTCATTGATTATTTTTCTTACTTTCTTTGCCATATTTGATTTACTTCTTTTCAGATTACGTCAGTTATCCTGATGTGAAGTATAACAACTTGAACTGATGAATGTTTTTGTCAGTTCTTATGCTACTCACATAATAATTAACTAACTTAGTTAGGATGGTCGTATATTTTGAAAATGTCGAGCAAGACACTTTCTGCTAGTCATATAATTAAAACAAAAACTCGATATAAAATCGTAGTTATAAATAGTTTATACCATTTTTCTGTAACTAAATAATAATACAAAGCCAAATAAGTTTCTGTTTCGCTGCCTTCGTAGATGTATGTCAATTAGTATATAAATAAAGTTTTTAGAAACGCATTAAGTTTGAATTTAGTATACTTTATTATGTTAGCTGTTTGAGGAGGAATGACAGCTAACTAACCCACATCATTCTAAAAACACCCATGGAGAGTTGTTCGCCTATAGCTTATCCTTAATAAACAAAACATTTCCGCGAAAAATTAGATTATTCCAGGAGATATATATTTATTAATTAGATAATCATCTATACATTATATTTTTCTCCTTCTAAGTAGCTTGTTAGCGTTGTGAATCATAAGATGAAATCATTTTTTCATGCGATATATATTATCATCATATTTTCATTGTCCTCCTATAACTAAATCTGCCAATTTTTTATGTTCTGTGTTTAACATTTTGGTAGATATGATTGTTGGAAAGGTAAACTAAAATATGATGCTTTAATAATCAGTAGATTTTATATGTAAAATACCACATTACCCTACCTACACCTTCATTTGATAGTTATCGATATGTTGTCTAAATAAATTTCAAATCCATTAAATGAGTGTAATACTCGACATTATAATGTGTCGTATGTTAATAAAAACATATCCGAAGAAATAACGAGAAATTGAAAAGAATTACATACTACTGATGAACAGTTGTACGTAAAATCTTAATGAAAACAAGTTAAATTAGGTCACGTTTACTTAATCAATGCACTACTTATTAGTAGGTTGAAATTGTCAAGGTAATTATTCACCACGTTTTATAAAATAAAGTATCGATCTTTACAAACAGTGACGTATATCTTTATGTAGTTATGAGTGAATATATTATGAAAACTGCAGCTCCACTTCCTAGTGAATCATGAATATTAAAATATTTAGTTTCATTAAAGCAATAAACAGCTTAATGAGTAGTAACAGGTACAGTAACCAGTTAGTGAATCGTGATGATTTCAGATATCAAGATGAATAGTATGACATTTTAAGACATCGAATGGTATAGCTTGAATAATCAAATAATATCATTTTGTCTTCATTATTGGAAGCACTATGGATACTGAACGTTGTAGAAAGTTAGTATGAAGCTTACTTTACGTTATAAAACGTCACTAATATGTATAAAATTAAATGCTTCATAAAAATATTTACATTTGCATCTAATTTCTGACAGCACAATCAATATGATAATGTAACTTACTATAGGTGGTTTTTCTTTTTATCGATAACATATAGGTCAGTATGAACTGTTGTTTGGTGAATATCATGTTTTGATACAAGTTTGCGTAATTTATAATTAACTTCTTTGCTAGGTGGATATGTTTTCTCCTCTGTCGAATCTATTGTCACTGAATGATTTACATCACCACCATCATCATTACATCGGTGGTAAAATGCAATTTCATCAATATTGCCTAGCCGTTTATAAATCCAGTCGAATGCATCATGTATCATGGAACTGAGTAAGTATCGACTATTTACAAGCGAGAAAGCAAAGCCCAGATGATAAGCTACACCCTGCAGTATAAAAAAGATTTAAGGAAAACCATTGAATAACTAACTGTAAAAATTACTACTTTAAGATATACTTGGAAAAATTGTGATGTGTGCTACTTATATCGACATAAGTAGTGTATGACGTTAGTCGTGAACAGAATGTCTGTCAGCAGAGAGACAAGAGGATTGAAAAGTAAAGAAAGAAAACAGAATGTAATTTGTATGAAAATGCAAGAACAATGAAGTCTGAGTCATTTTGAGACAATTGATGAACATTTTGCAAATTAAGCATTTACTTTATGATTGTTAGATTTTATTAATAATTCCTGTAATTATGTGCTAGATCCATTCGATTGTGTCCATTCATCTTCTTGTTCACTAAAAAATTTAATCCTTTTCTAAACATTTTTAAGAAATCATTTTCACTATTTCAAATATAGGTTTAAAACATCCACCTCGTAACTGTAATTTTAATTATTATGGTAGGTAAATGTTGACCAAGCAACAAAGTTTTGAATGTATGTTCCATGCAAGTAGCTAAAATTTACTAACCGCTCATGTTCCCAGTCCTTGTAAGTAAAATTTAACAGTACATTAATTTTAAGTTGATGGTCAGTTAAACATTACTCTGCTTAAAATGACATCAATTTTAATTGCTTAAACTTACATTGAATATAAATATTAGCTTGATTGATATTTATTCATGGAGAAGTTAATTATGATAAAATGTTTGATAAATAGATCAAATCACTAGCTTTATTGTAATTTTTTAACAATATTTTCTTACATTTTACTGTACTCACTGGTTTAATCTTCTGTGTTGAATCACTCTGTGACCTGTTTATTTGAATTTGATATTTAAATGAAAGATTCCTACAAGTTGTTGGAAAAACCTCATAGCAATTATTATCTATATGTTATTTAGTTGGCCAGTTTTTTCTGGGGTTTTTTTCAAAAAATTTATTTTGAAGCTCAATGTACATTCTATTTTTGTTGTTTGATGACATTTATATGGTAATGATTGAAATCAATAAGCAAATTCAAAAGACTTTTGGTGATTTTTATCATATATATCTTATTAACATCCACTGTGCTCGGGGAGTGGCCCCCTAAGAAAACCATCTGCTTTGGTTTGGGCACCCGTGCAGTATCACAGCCCTCACACATATCGAATCAGATTTGTGTGGCGCATATGTATTTGGTGCCTCCTTGTACCAATATCTATGTGTTAAAATAAATAAATAAGATATCCAATATAAGATCATTTGATTGTTCTTCTATAATGAGTTGAAAATTAAATGTCATAAGACAAATAAATGACTTCAATAGTCAAATTATTTCTGACTAGTTAAATACTCTTTAGTGTTGGTAAAAATGACCAGATTAGCATTTTTGTTAGCAATGTAACTGAGATATTTCAGTTTTATAACCTATATTTGTCCTGGGATACCAATCATTAATGAAATAATTTTCGAATTAATATCATACATATAATTAGTATTCTGATGGTACAATACTCCGGTTAGCATTTTTCAACAGTTATAATGTTAGGAATGAACGATTCAAATATTAAATGCATTAGAGGTAAAATTAAAAATTTACTAATATGTTTTCTTTAGAATGAACGAAATATCCCATAAATCTTAGGACTAATTAAATTCAGCCGATATAATGTGAAATGTAAATGAATTCACTCACATGCACATGCTACTAAGGCTGCATATCATCTATCAATAAATAAACGTTTGTTATGCACAAACATACAAATAGTTAAGTGAATGACACACACTTCCTACCCTGACCATATATAATCGATACAGTGGTGAACCATGGAATGAATCGTTTCATCAAACTTTTATGATATATACATCCGTTATTTTTATTCATTAATATTTGTATCCACATAAGATAGAATAAGTGAATATTTTATTAGATATTAAAAATTATATTAAAACGTCACAAATCAACTAGTCATCTAATTGATTTACTTATATTGAATATGTCTTCGATTCTTTTTCTTTTCTTTATAGAATAGCGATGACGACCATCTTCAAATGTAAGTAATGTTTTTCGTCAAATGTTTATTTCTTAAAAATTGAATATATATATGTAGGTTTTTGTTATATAGATGCGTGAAAGCTTGTTGACTTGATTAACCATGGAAATTGAAGTTGTAAATATTATGGTTCCTGAAGGTTTACAGCGTGATATATTGTATTAACTTTGTATTTCAATGTTGGCATGTAATTAAATTGAGACTAATTGTTTGTCATTTGTTGGCTTACTTTGTTGATGTCACCTTTAAATTACGACTTCTATAACTGATATAATAATCTGAAGTTAGTGACGGGAACACAAGTTTAAGGTATCTCAGTTTTGTGCTTGCAATTATATAAATTTATTAACTCCGCTTAGCTAAGGCCATACATTTAACATCGCCATATCATTAAGAAGACTAAATATCCAAGTTTATTTTTAACACTAACTTACAATCAAGTAATTTCACTGGTTTTATATTGCTTTATGTTTTCTACCACTTTAAGTCTGTAGAATATGAATATTCTTAACTCTATAGTGTTTAATTCACTGATTGTAAGAAAATAGCTAACTCTCTAGGGCCACAATTAATTCAAATAACTGAATGTCACTGTTTTCTTAAAAGTTCTCTTAATACTGCTTGTATTCTATTTCTTCCTACAGGTCTTCTACTCTTAGAATTTCTCCAATTACTTTATGTAGAAAACTTAAACGTCTACGCATCACATCACTCCCATTATATCATAACTTCGTTCGCCGCTAGAACTGATCAAAGTTGTTTAAAACTAATCAGGTTACTTGTCAATATCATATTTTACAGAACTAAAATATATTTGGCTAAAAATAATTCATTTCAAATAGATTATATTGATAATTGGATGATAACATTAAAGAATATAACAATATGGGGATTTGATGGACTTGGTCAAATTAATCAATACGATGACCAATTTTCTATTGAACAAGAAGAAATATGGCTACAGTCAAATAAAAATCAACCTAATAGTGATGTTTTAATTAAAGAATGGATGATGAAACGGGATGAAAAATTATGTGATGTTTATAAAATTAAATTTTCAATTGAATTAAATAAAAATATTGAAATGCTTGCAAATTGGTGCTTATTTCCTAGATGGAATTATTTAACATCCGAAAATAATTTTATGCATGTTAAATTTATCGGTTTACGTTTTAATGTCAGTTTACATTTGTTTATTAATCAAAATGGCGCAGTTGGTATAAAGTTTGATCATTTAAAAATAACACAATTATCTAACATACAATTACATACTTTTCAAGATCCTATTTATATTACTTCCAAAATGAACAGTAGTCAAAATGATATTGTAAATTCTTTTGAAAATTTCACTTTATCTTGGTTACTTGATAAAAAATCTTTACGTGAGATATTATTTTATTATTTGGAAACATCAGTTATTGATGTATTGAACAGGAATTTAAATCATTTGCAAAATAATTTTAAACTTAGTAAAGGTTTAAGCTGCAATGTTTAAACTTTTTTTTTCAGTATTGGAACACTCAATTTCGTTTTCTACGCCAATTACAATAACGTTTGAATATTTATGCTTATTGTATCATATTTTCTGAACTAATATATCGAATCTTAATTTAAAATGATATAAAACAAATGTAGTATGTACATGTCGAGGCTTTACAAAATATAATGGTTGGATATAGAGCTTCATATACGATATTGAATGTTTTGCTAATTGTTGTGCGGGTCCAGTTTTCTTAAAGTTGATGATCCTAATGTAATCAGAAACCAATCCTCATTTATGTAAACCCTGAACTGTTCTCTAATTTGTTACTGTGTTTTAATGTATGCATTTTAAGAAGCTACTTTTAATTTTTAATGGGAGTTGTTTGGTGTGCATTAAAAAATTTACTGATCTTGTTACAGAATTTCTGCTTGTTATGTGTTCTTATTTGGATACATTAGTCTTGTATCTCAAAAATGTAGTACTGCCTTCATCATGGCGTTTACTGTTAACTGTTACTAAAACAGTGTCATAACATATTTAAATTTTTGCTTCAACATTAAAATCAATAGTTAGCCAATTATCTCGATTACTCAAGTAATCATCAGAAGCTCCATCAAAGTCATTATTCTCCGACTAAGTAATATTATGTTCAAATATATAGGCTTGTCGGTTGAAAATCCGTATTTTTCTTAATATCTCACGAATAAAATTAATAAGATCAAGAAACAACATACCAGTTTTTATAATTTTATTTATTAGGTGTTGCCACAATAAACATTAATGGGAAGAAATATAATATAGTAAAACTATGTAACAGTTTCTCTTGACTTCAGTGCTACTTAGTAATTTGAACTTACGACACTATACGTAATCTAACTCAAGACGTTTAGATCGTTTGTTAGACGTGATGGGTTGATATCAGAGATTAAAAATTCACATTATCAATTTTAGTATTTTTGCCACACGACCATGTAACGGCATCGGTGGTTTATGTCTCTCTAACTACATGTTTGAGCTCAACCTACGTCACTTTACATGTAGAATACAGAGAAAAGAATTTTGAACATAATTACCAGCGAGCAGCGGCTTATTTGTTTACAATCTAAAATAAAACCAAGATACCAAAAGCAACTTTCAAATCTTACGCGATAAAACTGAATTTCATGTTCTTCAAACTTTGGTAGCTGGTCGTTATTTTTCAATTTGTTTACTTTCATTACTCCGATAAAGTATTTCTTAGCAGAGGGTATTGGTATGGCAAGAGCGAATGAAGGTGACTGATAACTTTGTTCCGTGTTCGTTTCAGTACATACTGACATGTTATGTGACTTATTTTCGGTAAGTGAAAATCTTTTCAATCTTGACATTTCAGAATGAACCAATGTTAAACCAGTTCTTAAACACTATTGTGGATAAACAAAAGAAATCCAAAGACATTTATTTTAAGTATAGAATAAATCAAAGAATTATCTAACTTTTATGCTGTAAATTGTGTAACTAAATCAAATGTACCACAAGGAATAATTTGCTATTAAATATAAATACAAATATAATCCTTACTAAGTAATACTTTCTTCATAACAGATAACTGATACAAAAACTTTGAGACAGTTTAGGAGTATTTAAAAATTTCTTTTATTATATTCATCACTCAACACCCGAATACCATGCCCGTAAATAAGAGATTAGTCTGTAAAAGCTTGACTTTGCAAAACTGAATAAGTTTTCAGTGTATATAAACCATGTTACAAATTAAAATACCCTAAGTCACAAAAAATGGTATTTTAATGTTGTCCAAATTAGAAATCCAGATCATGTAGATTAATAATTAAATGTGTTATATCCTAACGAAGATTAAATTATGGGTGAATTCTGAGATCTACTAATGGACTAATATTGTAAATATATTCTTATTATATAATTATTGAGTAATTAGATTATGTAGATTTATTTTCCTCTTATTATAAGCTCTATAGGCTATTGTTATACGACTTATTATTCTTAAGTTATAACTAGTTTATTATAGCCACTTTTTAGCTTGATCTTGTACAATTGTTATTTTTTATTTATGGTATGATATGGTTTAGTTTGTTTGTATATAAACCAATTATGTCTGAAATAGATCATTCGTACAGTGAAATCTGTTATTGGCGTTCTGGAGCCAACAGGCAGGGTTAGGCAGAAAAAGGGCCAACAAGAAGGCTAGGTTGCTCATACCGGTCAAAACGTCATTGTTGTGGCACAGTGATAAGATTTTATAAGTCGTAATCTGATGGGCGATCATATCCTGTGATAAATAACCGGACAGAAGTCACAACAAAATCTACTTGCCTTAGATATGGAAAATATATGTTCGATTGTCTTTTCAAAAACTAGTACATTTTTAAAATTATTCGAATTATGTTCATACATGAGATTATTACAGCTGAAAAAGAGACGATATGTCTCAACGAAAATCCGAATATATTCTTTGATAGTACCCTACGCTTAACTTTTTTTACTATTTGAGAATTTGAACATGGTAGAAATATATTTGAGTTTTAACCTTTATCTAATTAGAAGTATGATTTCACTGTGATTTACTGAAATAGTTTCAGGATGATGAGGAAAGTGATAAGATGTACTTGAATCTGAAATCACTATTTTTAGCTTATGGTCGTTGATTTAAAGAAATGTTTACTTCTTTATGGGTGTGTGAGTTGTTTAGTCCTTTTGAAAGGCGAGACCAGTGGATTTCACCAGTGTCGAGTATGTGCAAGGTACTTAAAGAAAAAAATGGAAGACGGTTGTTTAGAATCGTAAAATAATTGGAGTTAGACTATCACGCCACTAATTATTGGCTCAGTGGTCTAGAGATTAAACATTCGCACGCGAAACCGGAGGTCCTAGGTCGCGGGGTCGTGGATGCACACTGCTGAGTAGTCCCATACTGAAGAAAAATGGACGTCACTTTCTTTCACTTTTTAACCGGTTTTCTGACTTAGATTAGCTCGTGATCTCAACGGAATTTATTCTGTTGTTGCTCAATCACAAATCATCCAACCATTTCTCACTATCATTGTGGTTAGGTTAGGACTAGATAAGCATTGTGTTGTCGTTAAATCATGATTCTTCGTAGTCACGGATCAAGTATTATCTTCTGACTGATAAGAACTAAGGTACACTGTAGGGAGAAGTAATTTTTGTCATTGATTCATACGTTATCATTGATCCCAGTGACTATACGAAATAAATCCCTACTGTTTAGTAGCGTAGAAGACAAATTATCATTGTTCCACTTAGTTATGCACATTATTTTATGTAACTCAAACAATATGAAAACATTTGACATATTTAATAATCACTTTCCTTTAACCGTTTACCTTGAACAATAAATCGGATTCATCTCCCTGTGGACACTGATCAAGCAGAATTTCAGCTTCCGATTCTGGTATGGCTGCTACATATTGTAAACGGGATTGTATATTTGTATCGAAAGGCAATGCATCATTTGTTGTTTCTGTTGGATAAAGTAATGCAATGTTAACACTGATCTGCTTTTGTGCACCATGTTTTATTGTATCTTTTATGAGTGTCTTCACGCGTAAAGCAAGAATGTGCATAAAAAAGAAGGTATTCATTGAAAAATAATTATAATTCCGTGATAATTATGAGCAAACTAATAACAATTAATTAGTAGTAAAAGAATCATTTCATCATTCTTAATAATTATGATTTTAAATGTGGAATTATGAAGAGAATAATTACTTGTATTTATCTGCAAATAAATATAACTCTCATGAATTGAAAATTATCATCTTGTTTTTGATTGATTAAAACAACTATTCATTGTTTGTCAGATTTAGTTGTTAGATTAGATGAATTAAAATAATCTAGAAACAGTAATACTGATATCTTTAATACCTACTATATACTTAACAAGCAACTTATAAAAATATCTGGTAATTTACTTTTGTTAATTGGTACTTAACTAGGATCAACGTACTTATAATTTATTAGATAAAGTTACAAAAACAAACATGAAAAAAATGGTATAAATTAACCGGAATGTGAATATAACAAAGAATTTATTTATGGTGTTAAATTTGTCACTTATTCATGAACTTACTTTTATTAGGTTACATAGGTTAGCCAAATAGATCATAATTATCTACTGAACTTAGAAAAACAAGAATGGCTTTTTCTAATAATTAGTCATTTATATTGTGGATAGAATTACCTATCACCAATTGAATTAAGTCATCATAATGAAATCATTTTGAATTACTATTCATAAGATAATTCTACATAGTAGAAAACAAAATATTCACTTACTGTAACAGACTAATCATGTTAGTCATCTTAATTTAAATTTTATTGTCTTTCAACCATAGAATAAAGTTAGTTATCTTACCTGGAAAACGGTTTTATAAACTAATTCCATTGAATTATCAAATGTATTCAATGAAACTGATAAAATTTTCTCTATCCATTCTCGTCGAATTCGTGTTCTGATTTTCTCAGATATAGTTTGTATTAATTTTTCTTTTAAGTAGTTAAGAAACTTATCCAAACAACTGAAGTCAAACTCATCATGACCAATCAGATATTGATTATTTTTAGGCCAAAATATGTGATCTAATAGAATTTTGAAGTCAGTGATATTTATTTCAACTGACTTTTCTGGATAATGGTAATAATGTAGATTTTGTAATTGATTAACTGTGCTTTGAATATATGATGGACCACTAAAATTCTCGGATGATGATATTAAACTGCTGGTAAATGTAGAACTTGAAGTTACCTGATCATTAGACATTGAATAAGACCTTGCAGTCGATTGAATGTTAGAAGCTAAATCTGACTTAGCTAAAAACACATCAATAATGGTAGGGAATAATATAATTTGAGTTTGACCAAATAAAACGCTAAATTAAACATTATTCAATTTTGAAATTCCATCTTTCCTCTGCTTTATTGTTAACATAAGCAGCATTTGAAAATAATTTACATTATTCAAAGCTGCTCTGACACGTAGTGAGTCCTTTTTTAATACTCAGAACTAAGTTAGAGTGTACCGTACAATTACACTAGTTCCTGAACATGAGGAACGTCTAGAATAAAATGAATGTGACAGTCAGCAAACTGGAGCTGTCTAACTGTATTTACTTAATTATGACTGCTACCACTCGTGGAGGAGCATAGGCCGCCCACTAGCATTTCCCACCCAACTCTGTCATGGGTAATCTTCCCCAGTTTTTTCCAGTTGCTATTCATCCTTTTAATGTCTGATTCAGATTCTCGGAGCAGTTTATTCTTTGGTCTTACTCTTTCCCTTCAGGATTCTAAGTTAGAGAATGCTGGGGACGTTAGATCCCCAGAACTCACTTGGGAAAGGACCTAATTTTATAATTTTATTTTCGCTAGAGGCGCTCTTGTCACCTTCATGTCGTATTTCCCACTGGGAAATATCTTAAATGCTATTCGTCCGTTGCGTCTTTTAGTATGCTATTTGGTAACTCTCTCCAAGGACGGTTTTGTACTGTATATATACGTTTTGAATTGTGTTTGTGTTATATCCGAGCGAAGATTAAATCACGAGTGACTTCTGAAACATATTAATTGACTAATGTTTTCTATACATTCTTATGGTATAACTACTCAATAATTAGATTATGTATATTTATATTCCTCTTATTATATGCTTTATGTTGACCTATAATTTATTATTGTACGATTTACTGTTCTTAAGCTATGTTCAGTTAATTGACTACTGCCTCCCACGTTCACAGCCACTTTTTGGCTTTATTGTGTATAAATGTTATTTCCTATTTAATGGTGCGTTGCAGTCTGTTTGATTGATATATAAACCTAGTATGTCTGAAATAAATGATTCGGTTCGCATATTGGAAGCTGGTATTGGTGTTCTGGATCCAAGTGGACGGGCTAGGCGGACACAGGAACAATAAGGACGCTAGGCTGCTCGTACTGGTCGAACGTCATTGGTTTGGCACAGTGCGAAGATTGCATAAGTCGTATTTTGATTGGTGGATAAGTCACGTGGTTAAAGCCGGACATAAATTCATAACAGTTTGTTGTTATCGTTCGTTTCTGGCTGTTTGCAGAATATACTTCCCCATTCCAAGCTTGGACTTCTCCTTCTAGTTAGCGGGGTTGGGACGCATCAATAGCTAGCTTACTGGTCTTTGGTCACCGATTCTTGTTTCTCGTTCGCAGATTAAGTGAACTCGTGACAGCTTCAACCCTAACAGCGAAGCTTCGTGATGCGATTTGATGATTTCCTCAATGTATGCTTCATCAAGTTCTAGCATCTTTACCTAAATTCCTCCTTATCTGGAAGCTGGTTTGTTCTCTCCCACAGTAAGCTGTTACACATGGTATCCGGCTGTTATAACTTTTCGTTTGAATGCGTATTGTCTTGTCTCTTTTAATAATACTTTTTGCATCTAGTTGTCGCTGATTGTTATGTTGGAAACGCTTATCACTTGTAATCGGAACCAGGGACCTCTGCAATTCTCATGACACGAAAGTAAGAACACAAAGACTGGTATAAGTGAAGATTTATTAACCCAAAAACACGGTGACGACGACGACCTAGTCGAAAGCACACTCATTTATATATTGATTGTACACACACTTTGATTAATAATTAGGATGAAATCACATATATGAAAAATGCTTAGCGTAATAACAAATCACATACTGAACATAGTTCATGTCAATGGAATACAAGAATATCGCATATTATACAGAATAAAATATCATACAAGACAATAAAACAAATACTACATTGAGTAATCATTACATTGAATCAAAACGGAAGTAATCTTGAACAAAACTCATAATGAGTAAATCAATCGAAAATTGACTTTTCTTTCCATCATATCACCGGCCAACAGACATTCAGTACCATGTGTATACAAATGTTGATAAATACTTGTACAATTTGATGACGGTTGTAGTAGTTCTCCACGTTTCAGCTCCGCACAGCAGGATGGTCTTGACGTTCGTATTGAAGATTCTAACTTTGATATTGGTTGACAGACAGTAGTTTTGAGTTCCATATGTTCTTCAATTGTAGGAATACTGCCTTTGCTTGTGAATTCTCGCATTTATGTCTGCATCAGATCTTCCTTGCTCATCGATGATGCTTCCCAGTTAATTGTAATATTCTATAACTTTCAGAGTTTCTCCATCAAGTGTGATTGGGTTGGTGTTCTCGGTGTTGTATTTGAAAATCTTTCTTTTCTCCTTGTGTATGCTGAGGCCTACCGATGCAGAGGCTTCTGCCCTATTGGTTGTCTAAACCTGTATTTGTTGGTGTGTATAGGAGCGAAGAGCAAGGTCATCTGCAGAGTCCAACTCGTCTAATTGCATCAAACCTGTCCATTTTATTCTGTGCTTCCCCTGAGATATGGGGGTCTTCATAATCCAGTCAACTGCCAAAGGAAAGAGAAAGGCAGAGAGTAAGTAGCCTTATCTAACACAAGTCCTCATTTGCAATACACCTGTCGGCTGTCCTCTGTGCACGACTTTGCACTGTAGTTCGTCGTATGAATTTCGGATGATGTAGACGAACTCCTCAATTACACCATAGTGTCGGAGAAGGCTTCATAAGGTCCTTTTATACACTCTGTCAAGTGCTTTCTCATGGTCAAGGAAGTTGTTGAATGGCGACGAGATCCACTCAAGTGACTGTTCCACGATGATCCGTGGTGTCACAATTTGGTCTGTGCATGACCGATCCTTACGGAATCCGGTCTTTTGATCTCGAACCTGGAGGTCCACTGAATCTTTCATCCGGTTCAGTCACACTCTGTTGAAAACGTTTCCTGCTACCGATAATAGTGTGATGCATCTGTAGTTCTCACACTTGCTCGCATCTTTGTTTGGTATCTCAATGAGTTGTCCATTTTTCCAGTGTGTCGGTGGCACTTGTTCTTCCCCCAACATGTTACGGAATAGGACGTGGAGCATGCTTTTGCAATTACCTATATATCTGACTTCAGTGCTCCAGCTGCTTTATTGTTAGGTCATGCTGCTTTCCCACTCTCGATCTGTCTGGTGGCCATGTTTATATCTTTGTTCGTTGGTAGAGTAAAATTTGTAGGAATGTCTGTGAGCGTTACTTCGATGTCCGGTGGGTTTAGTGGAGCTGATCTATTCAAGAGTTCTTCAAAGTGTCCTACCCACCTGTTCCTCTGTTCTTGAATATCAGTGGTCACTCTGGTTTACTATATTTCCCTTCCAGTCCCTTCGTCGTGTCATACAGTTGTCTCATATTTCCTTCTCTTGCAGCTTTTTCCACTGTCGTTGCTAGTTCCTCCACTTATTTCTGCTTATCATCTCTAATGCTATTCTTTACTTGCTTTTTTGCTTCAGTGTATTCAGCTTGAGCATTAACTTTCTGTGTTCTTGTTGGACTGTTGTTAATTTTTGTCTTCTTGTTCTCCTTTCCTTGAAAATGTATGGGTGACTCATGAATACATTGTATTCAAACTGTATTTTAAGTTCATGTAATTTATGTTTGCAAGCTTGATTTTTACAACTACACTTATATGCATTCTTTTTAATTGTTATGCTTAGTATCTCATTTACAGTGATATTGTAGCAAAAGTCTTTATCAAGATAAATTTATCAGTACAGCTTGAATCAAACTTTGGAATTCTCAATATATTATTGAAATACTAAAACATGGCAGAAAGGAAACACTAATAGGAAAAATAGGATACAGTTTTTCGATAATCTGTTTTTTATTTCGCTTTATTAAGTAAGGGTGCAAAAAATAAAAAAGACCTTAATGTGGGTGTAAACAGAAACTTCACAAAATCTTCTTTTTTTGTAATATTCCGAAGTTCCTTTCGTAAGAAGGTTAATATGACCAGTTAACTTTCGACTGAATCACAAGTCTCAGTACAAATTTCAGCAACCATTTTTTCAAAAATGTTCAAGATTTCCAACGTGAATAAATAATAATTATATTATTTATAACTGCTGAGAATGGATCGTAATTTAGATACAGTTATAAAATGAGCTTAGCAATTACAAATAACTCATAAATAATATGACAGCACTAAAACAAATTTTTTGACAAACTATCTTAATTACCTTGTTTCAAATGAGCCTTATAAAATCCATCTTCATAATTTAATATAAAATATTCAATTTTCTTAAGGTTTAACATTCCAGAACATTCTTGATCTAATGTGTGGAATATTTTGTTCAATAGTTGATGTTTTTTCATTATTGAAGTCTTCTGGAAATGCTAAAATTTAAAATGAAATTGAAAGGTTTATTATATTTGTGATAATCAGTATTTGGTTTAATCCAGCAACTTCAAACACGTAATGAAAACGTTTAATAGGTTTGATGAAATGCTTTAAATTCTGAGTGAAACAAAATATTTCTTAATCGTTTATGGAATTTTAGACAATGAACTTATACGACTACCGGAATCCCAATTCAAGAAATGTTTTATTTGAACCTTAATATATATTCATGAGAAAAGTAGACAAGTTTTATCTTACTTCTTTTTAATTATCAGGATTCACAAGTTATTTCGTACGGTATATTCAGTGAACTGGCTTATTGTTAGAAAAGCGACAATCCATATTTTCTACCGAAATTCAAGGTTGTTTGGTTTTTAAATTATGATGTTGAACTAGATTAATGCTACGAGGAAATACTGAAAATCTGTTTATTTTATTTTTATGGTAATTCATTTATGTATACTCAAAACAGAATTGAACTCATAATACTCACCATTCACAAAACAGCCAGACAAATTTAGGCTACCGAGTTAAAACTTCATTTTCTCTGTGACATAAACACATATCTCCATAGCGTTACCGGTGAATTGCTGTCTTACTCTCAACCTGATGGGCTATACGTATGATAGTTTCCATCAAGCACTTGTAAGGGTTCACGAGAAATTTCACGAATATTGAAACATTTGGTGAATTCATCCAATCATTCCACCAAATCTCCCGTACAATTCCTGGATAAGATTAAGGACATCCAAATAAACAAAGACTAACTGATGTTATCCTTCGATGTAACAGCCTTGTTCACGAATATCTTAGTTGCTGTATTATAATTAAGCGGTTGAGGAGAGAAATTTATATATTTTGAATGTTATTTATCAGATGGAGACCTATTGTGTTTTTCTTTAAATCATATCAAATTCTTGCCTATCTTGCACCCATCATGTAATTTAAAATTGAGCACTACCTGTACAATCTGTTTTTAATTAAAAGAGATGCCTAGTTAGATGAAAATCCATAGTGTGAAACTAAAAGTTGTCGAGAGATACTAGATTATTTAATTTTCTGTTATCAGGCAACAGTGACACTAATATTATTCCAAGGAATTTATCCTAGCTCTTAAAAATATGTAAACGATACGAATAGTTCATTAGATTCAGGAATTGAATAATGGTATTGTTGTGTCCTCATGTCCGACTAGATATCACGTAATTTATTCGCCAATCGAAATACAACTTATTCACTCTTGTTGTATTTCGAAACCCAGAACACTAATAACAACTTCCGCTATGCGAATCAATTACTTCAGACATACTTGGTTTATATATCAATTAAACAGACTGCAACGCACCATAAAATAGGAAATAATATTTATAAAAGATCAGGCCAAAAAGTGGTCGTGAACGTGGGAGACTGTAATCACTAAACTGAACATAACTTAAGAATAGTAAATCGTATAATAGTAATAATCTCTAGTTCAAAATGGAACTTATAATAAGAGAAATATTGATATTCATAGTCTAACTACTGAACAGTTATACCATAAGAACATATCAATATTAGACCATTAATAGGTCTCAGACGTTAATCGTAATTTAATATTCACTAGGATATAACCGGCATCGTATTTCGAATATACCATTTGTTTCTAATTGAATTTACATGTTTTTGCATAAATTAACTAATAATATACAAAAATATCTACCTGAAGTTTTCTTTCCTCACGTTCTTCAGCTGAAGCTTCATATCTTTTCAAATATGTTAAAAAATTATTAAAAATTTTCAAAGGAGCAGTTTCTGGTATTATGAACTCCATAATACTGATAAACTGATTTTGTGTTATGCCAGATGTATCGGCCAGTTGACAAGTCTTTATCAATTGATCTAATTAGCATTATGAAAGAAAATTAATCTAGATGTCGTTTTAAATTATGTAATTTGATCAAGTATCATAGTGAAACAATACTAGTGTTGGGGACGATAGACCACGCCGAATGTTATCTGACGACCGCAATACGAACTTTGCCGGTATCTGCAACGGACATACAAAATGCTTCTAAGAGCGACCCCATTATCAAGAGGACTATAAGCTATGTCACCAACGGTTGGCCGTCTAAGAAGTTTGATGGTGATATAAAACAGCTGTATCAGCGGCGGGATTCTCTATGCATTGTAAACGGCTGCTTGATGTTCGGAGAGAGAGTGTTTGTGCCAGAATCCCTTCGTGCAAAAGTGCTGAAACAGTTCCACCTTGGTCATCCGGGGATTAGACGAATAAAATCCATAGCCAGGAGTCATGCGTATTGGCCGCTAATGGATCAACATATGACAGAATTGGTCGGAAAATGTATGCCGTGTCAGCAAGCAGCAAAAGTGAACGCCAAAGTTCCACCAGTTTCATGGCCACAACCCGATCATCCTTGGTCCAGGATACACGTCGACTTTGCAGATCCGATTAACGGAACCATGTATCTAGTTGTAGTCGACACCCTTTCGAAATGGCCTGAAATCAACCCTATCATACCACCAACGACGACTAAAACAATACAGATCCTCACAGAAATTTTCTCCCGAAATGGTATACCAGATGCCATTGTATCTGACAACGGTTCACTGTTCACCTCCAGCCAATTCCAGTCATTCTATCAACGACTAGCCATAAAACACTTACGCTCGCCACCATAACACCCGCAGTCGAATGGGCAAGCAGAAAGGTTTGTGGATACGTTTAAAAGAGCCTTGACTAAGACAAAAGGGGAGGGGACGCCAGCGGACGCGTTGCAAAATTTCTTATACGTGTACCGAACAACACCAAATGAGACGTTGCCGGAGCGAAAGTCCCCAGCAAAGATCCTAATGGGAAGAAGACTGAAGAAGATCCACAGCCTGATGCATCCAAGTAATGCGCCGACACCAGTACGGACTAAGTTTGAAAAGCGATCCACGTACGAAGTGGGATGTCCTGTGTTTGCCCGTGATTACAGATCGACCCATAGTCCATGAACAGAAGCGCGAGTGGTCAGAAGAGTTGACCGAGTCATGTACGAAGTTTAGGTAGGCAGTGACAGGTGGCAATGCCATCGGAATCAGTTACGCAAACGGTTAGCCCCAGACTGCCCATCAACAGAAGCAAATATTCCTCTTGACATCCTGATAGACACATTCAACTTACCGGCAACCCCACCGCAAGAAAAACCTCAACAACAAGCTGAAACACATCCCAGACGATGGCCTATCCGAGAACGGCGAGCTACAGTCAAGATGCAGGTTGGCCCTAGGAAAGCCCGCTATTAAAAAGGGGAGGAGTGTTGGGGACGATAGATCCCCAAACTCATATTTTTAAATTTTATCTTATCGATCAACTTATCGATTAAATGTTTGAATGGCAGTCAGTTGATGAACCTATCGATTAGATGTGCAAATAGGTCAACTGATGAACTATCGATTAAATGTTAAATAGCGGTCAATTATTGAACTCATTGATTAATGTTTAAAAATTTTCCATGACAATATCGATTGTAAATACTTGTATAAATACGCTTGGTTGTGTGCTTGGCTGGACTTGTTATCTGCTGTTTGTCTGTAGAATACACTTTCTACACCTTGCCCAGACTTCTTGATCGAGTTAGCAGAGTCGGGGACAACGAACCAGAATAGCTATCGAGTCGCTGAATCATTGATCCTTCGTTCCGTTCGAGTAAGACGCATCAGTAATAGCATTCAAGCAATAACGAACCATAACAACTAGAAAAGTAAATGATTTTTTCGAGTGAACTAGCACACTATAAAGCCCTATGTAAATATTAAATAAGATGCAATGACTAATCATTGCTAATTGATTCATCTTAATTTAAACTTGTTAAGTATATAAAAGAGCACGTTCTTTATTTGTTATCACCATCTTAAATATTTTAAACATCTATTGATTTCGGATACTCCTTATAACATGTTGACAAGAGGAGTCTATGTCAATGTTTGTGATCACTTTGTTCCACATTACAAGGTTTTGTATAGTTATCTTAAAATTACATCTATCTGAGATTATCACTTTCTTTCAAATGAAGTTGCTAGCCTTTTAGCCTTTAAGGATTTCAATAAACAATAGTGCATTATGACTCTTAAAAGTCAAACAGTATTTAGCTAAGCCAAGATAAAGGAACATCTTATTCCGTTTGATCTAGTGATAAGGCGAAGTAACGAAATTATTTAACTTACTTAGAAACTGAGGTTATTGGTTTGGATTGTAATATAATCAGGATACATTTGTGAAAATGTGTTGGAAGACTAGAGATTAGATCTGACATATTCTTAGTTAAAAATATTGCAATCAGTTATCAGTGAAAACTGATATCAAATGATTTAGTAATACACTAGAAACTAGTTAATCATATGACCTTGCCCAGATAACATAAGACATTAACATACACTTCAGCAATATATCTCTGTCACTTAGGTATGAAACGATTAAGGTAAGTTATTGTACATTATTTATGCATAAACTTCTCAAATTACGAAAATATTCACAAAATTTCTGTTTATCAGGTGATTAAACCTATGAACTTTAAAACAACTCATCTTTAACCCTCGTGTCTTGGTCCCGTAGCAACATATCATGGAAATTTGAGATATCCATACTGTAAACAGTCTGAAATACTGGTGAAATAACGCGGAGCTATAACAACCAGACTAGGAAAGAAGCAGTTAAATGCGTAAATATGTTCGAAAAAAAATTAGCGAAACAAATTACAGTGGTGTGAAACTCAATAAATATAATACTATCCAGCATAATTATATTCAACAACCCGCCGAAATAAACTCCAGGATTTCTAAAGAACTAATAACTTCATAATGAAATTGGAAATTTTTTATTAAAGAAGCTTAAAGTTTTTCGATTAAACTCACTTCAAGGATTATTGATATTTACATTTGTTAGTAAGGAGATAAACGCTTGCTTAAACAATACAATAAGGACATTATTATAGGCAATGTCATAGCAATTCTACCGTTTTAAAACAGAGTTCACTAAGAAAAAAGTGCTTCTTTAACCAGAAAGACAGTATTATCAGTATCATGTTATTATACAATAGGTCTTGAGATTTAGTTAATAAACGACCACGAACAACGGATAACATAGGTTCTAAGACAAAGTAACCAATGGAGTGGGAGCAAGGCTCAATGAAGACGATATGGTTATCAAGTTAAGACAAGAATTCTGGAGAGAAAACGGGAGAATCTAAACTATAAAACTTGGTATTACATTATTTCTGGGTAGTCTCATAAAGAGCCTACAATAGAATATGTCACTACAACTACAACCGAGCTCTAAAACTGTATGAAATTCCCATCTCACTCCATCCATTTTAATATTTAATAACTTCATTCTCCTTCCTCATTCCTTCACCTTCTACCACTTTTAGAAAACCATAGCTTCTAATCTAAGAAAATATTACTTACAAATAGAGCAATTGATACTAACTATAGCATAAAAGGAAACTGTAGTTCTGATGTATAAACAGTTATTCAGTAGTGCTTTCACCACCAGAAGCTGATATAAAACCAGCTTTTCACTTTTTGTATAATAATTTTCTGAATCCGGTTAGATAACTCAGTAACTAATAAATACAAAGTATATAATTGGTGCTAATTCAGAGAACACTCACGAATTTCTAGTTATTTAAACCATTAGAAATTATGCATTAGATTGTCATTTCACATAAATTAACGAATACAAAGCCTAAAGCCTTGGCTTCCTGTTGATCACTTTCAGCCATTTAACCTCATCACAAGTTATGAAAAGAATTGCCTAATTATATCTTAATTTAAGAATAAACAGAGTATATATTTTCCACTGATAGTGTAATACTTTAAAACTAAGACACGAAGAGAGAATGAGAAAGTGAAGAAAATCAAGTCTAGTTTGTGATATATATTTTAAGCAGAAAGCATTAGTGACATGTAAAATCATAAAATCTTAATCCAAATGAGAATGTGACTAAGGTACGGAAAAATGAATATACATACAATTGTTCTCACAAGTTATATTGCACTAAGTTTGAGGACTTCAACTAAGTTAAAGGAATGATGTTACGAGGAATGGAACAGTATAGTTTTGAAATAAACTCTATTACTTCAACATTAGATAGATAATGTAAACATTATCTTTTAGATTAGTTTTGTTTTAAAGTATTAAATGAGTATGTCATAAACGTTAAGAAGCTAGGCAAGACTGTATATACAACGATAAACTTAAAACAGAAATAGAAATATATCTCAGCTTTTCCGAGTTCATGCAAAGCCATTTGAACACTTCTGTGTACTTAAAGTAGACTACAAAGATACTCTAATTACCTTTAATATTAGACTGAGTGGGAAAGATAGTAATTTCGTCCAGCTGCCGAGTACCTAGTTGTATTGAGCTAATATCATCATGTTGGATGGCATTGTCTGAGTTATTTCCATTGTAGATTAGTAGAGAATGTTGTTTGTCCTTTATGTTGTTATCATCATCAACTTTAGATGAAGATGGACGTTCATTTGTGACCATAGTTGTAACAGGTTCTGTTACAGATAACTTCAAATGATATTCTTTTGTAGACCCTAAAAGTGAAATTGAAGCAATTTGGACTATTAGTTATATAGTGTTAATGGCATTGAAATTATTTTCAAGTCAGTATAATTTACAAATATTTTCTGATTACTTAATACCATAGAAACTAGAGAGATATGACTTTTAACAACCCTCTTGATTTTACTTGACATTTTAATGATGATGTACTATGCCAAATGAAATAGGTTTCCCCTTAAACAAGTCGAAATGCAACATTAGCTCACTGATAGCAATGTTGAATGGATTTCATCATATCAAATACTGGCAATGACTTAAAAAACAAATACGAACCATTGGATTTTAACTTAGTATTATCGAAGTATTTTCTTCATCCTAAAACGTTTTTGCTGTAAATTCGATTCACATGGGGTTGTAAATTCGTATTAGTAATTACTTGGTTGAACGAAACAACTATTTACTCTCTTGATTCTCAATAGGTTTGCAGATAACATAAATCCATAATAAATACTGAATTCAAACTAAAACGTTTCTGCAAAACTTCTATAATAATAATTTATGAAGCTTTTGTAATAGCGAGTGAAATATAAATAGAAATAATTGATTGTTTCAGTAGACACTTAACAAAAAAGTACATTTATTCATCTGTCGATTAGTATCGTCGTCTACTTCACACTTTATATTTGCAATTTAGTAATCAAAGAAGGTCATTTTACAATCCAGTTTTTATTTCTCTCGAATCCAATTCTAACAGCTTCCCGGTTCACATAGATTAGCATATTTTCAGATCACTAAAACTAACATATCCTATTAAATGAATTCAATTAAGTTTGCTGGATATCTTTTTCGCACAAACCGATTAATTCAAATGATAACTTACTCTATAATAATAAACATCAACAAGTATGTAATTATAGCTTACAATCTCTTGGATCATGGATCCTGTCTTTGATAATTTGTTGACATGTATCAAAGTAATCTTCACACCGTTGAAAAACTTGTGCACGAGATAATTCATCCAACTTAATATGAATAATAAAACGACAAAACGGATTCTCAGTATTGTAATTCATTTGAAATAAAGCTTATAAGTGCTGTGTAGTGATGCTATCCCAATAAAACAATAAAACTTTCTTTAGTCCCTATGGGTTTTTTTATTTCTTACTCATTAAACTGTTTGATAGGAAGTATGAGAGATTCAAGAGAAAGTTAAGATGATGGCATACATATACAGGAGTCGGAAAGAGTCTATTTCTGTGTAAACATACTGATGTTTAAATATGGATGTATTAACGTTAGACTGAAATTTTCTGCTGTTGTGCACAACAGGAATTTTAAGGGCATTTCTCATGAAAACGAATAAATTAATACCAACAGAATAAGCAGTAGGTAGAAAAATGTTTATATCCTTGTTCATTGCAAAGTCGTTTGAGACCCATGTAATGAATTGGTGTATGACGTTTCCAACTTATAAGAATGATTTTTATAGATATGTCATTTTATCTGGCACTAGGAACTTAGTCATCAGAATATATTATACAAATAAACTGACATTAAAGTCTAAGTTGATTTCATTTTTCGCATTCCTCAAAACTAGTTGTTCTGCACTATAAAGCCATTTTGTTTGGCAAATTTAATGTAAAATCTATCAATTTGGTATCTAACTCTCCTTTAATTATAACTGATGTACTCACAATTAACATATTACAGATATTTTAATTCATACTGTAACACATATAAAGAACTCAACAACTAATCTATAGTTATGTTTTTTTTAAATATTCCATTACCCTTTCAGTGTATTTTGATAATTTCCTAATAAGGTAATGCAGATTTCTCACTAATCGTAAGTATTAAAATGTGAAAAACCTAAAGAAACATCAAAATTATGACTAGGTTTTGTAAATAATTTAATCAAACATAATGTATTCATTGTGACATAAAAACATGAAAGAGTTTTTCAGTACTGAATCAAAACTCATCGTAAAATACTGATCGTATTAATTGGTGATAGATAAATAACTTGGGTAGGTTCAGCAGAATGATTACGGCTATTCACCGGAGAAACACTAGTAGATAAACTTAAAACCATTATTATTAACATGGGAAATAATGCATAATATTGAGAATAAATGACTTAGAATGAGATTATCAATCGTCAGTTTTTGTGTACATTCATATAAATAGACATTTTTACCTGGTCTAAATCACACGTACGGAAGCAACTTTTCAATAATTCCCGTCGTTCTTCTCTTTTCTCTGCTTTACGAAATTCTACCGTACAAAGTTTTAGATGTTCCGTAAACTGTTCGAAAACATCAGTTGACATCAATCTAGCATATATCATGAGACACTAGAAAGACAGATTGTCGAGTAAGAATACGTAAGTACGATACCACATAAACAGAGAACTCAGTTTATAATTGTTATATCCGGTGAAGATTAAATTACAGGTAAATTCCAAGGACTATTCATGGACTAATATTCTATAAATATTCTTATTGTATAACTACTCAACAATTACACTATGTATATTTATATTCCTTTTATGATAAGCTTTATTTTGACCTATAACTTATTATTGTACGATTTACGGTTCTTAAGTTATGTTCAGTTTATTAACTACTGCCTCCCACATTCACAGCCACTTTTTGGGCAAATATTATTTCCTATTTTATGGTACGTTGCGGTCTGTGTGATTGATATATAAACCAAGTATGCATGAAATAAACGATCTGCTATGATTCGGAAGCTGGTATCTTGTTCTGGACTCAAGTGGAAGGGCTCGTAGGACATAGGACCAATAAGAACGCTAAACTGCCCACACTGGTTGAACGTCATTGGTTGGCCTAGTGTGAAGATTCGTATAAGTCGTATTCGGATTGGTCGATAGGTCGCGTGATAGCAAAACGAGACATCCAAGGTCATAACAATTGGCGACGGGGTGGAGAAAAGTTTTGAACCCTCAACTTCAAGGCCATAACAATAATTCAATCTATTCTGTTTTAATAAGCAAGATATTTAAGGCAGTGTTACTATCCAAACCATCAGTTGGACAACTTTAGTCCATAACTTATCAAGCGATGTTCTTACATAAACTAAAAATCCAAGATGGAATATCAAATCAAATGACCTGATAAAATGTGAATTAATGTGTATTCATGATAAACACAAGATACTTAAGTCTAACACAAAGATATTAGAGTCAAATGAAGTTCTAGTTATCAGTTCTGTCTCTTTACTAAGCTAAAACACCACACAAACACTCAATAAATCAACTGAGTTATCAGTACCATTACGTCTCATTTTTAGTGTTATTCCCTATGGATTTTATTTGTATCCACCTAATTCACTCCAGCTTGAATGAATACATTTTTTAAGCGTAATAGAGCTGCTATTTAGAGTGAATAGATTATTAGCTTTAGCAAATGTTTGTTAAGGTAAGTAATAGACAATAATCTATATCACATTACCTCCAACAGATAATTATATGTACTTAGTAATAAGCTTCCATTTCTATTTGGCCTAGTACCCCTCTTGTGGCATAGGTTGCCCACTTGGATTCTCCAACCAACTATATACTGAGCTCCCCTTCACACTATTTATTATTTTCATTCATGCTTCCAGTTCCTGGAACCATTTACTTTTTGGTCTCCTCCCTTTACTTTTGAATTCAGCATTCCGAGTTATGACTTGACTTGTGAGTAAGTTTTATAGTCCCATAAACTGTGTCCCATCTAACACGAGGGTCTTCTTCATCCGGAAACCAATTTGCTTTCTTCCACAGTAGGTTATCGTTGAGAACTCCTGATCAATGGATTCGGAGTTTTTAACATAGACATCTGTTTATAAACACTTGTACATTTCTGATGGTGGTTGTGGAATTCCTCCAAGTTTTAGATACGTACAACAAAAGTGTTTTAACGTTAATGTTGAAAATTGTAGTTTCGGTCAATAACCCCATATATCATGTTTCCGAACAATGTTAAGATTTCACAACTTTTCTCAGTTCTAATTGTAATTAAAAAACACATCTCTGATGGTTCAAATAAATCAGTCTCTGCTTTCTATCTTGATTCTTTTTGCCAGTGAAACGAACAACATATTTTTTCAAATTCCTACACTAATTCACTAACCATCGTCATGGTTGTATGGTAGAAGTATCAACAGTTCATAAGGTGGAAAACAAAAAAGTGATTTATTTTGTTATACAGTTATATTGTTGTTTCATGACATTTTTACATGGCATAACTTGTTAACATTCAATCGATCGATTTCACTGATAACTATCAAAGTTTGAATCCCAACCTACTTGTTAGTCATAGCCAAAAAATACACATCTAATTATTTTAATTTGTTAATGGTATTTAAATAGCATTTCACTGTGAAGGAGGATATCCGATAAACTTCACAGCTTTATAAAATCGATATAGGATTACTACTAAAAATCTAAGGTAACAAGTAGAATTAATTTTTTAGAAATATATGATATATCAAAGGACACGAATGTAAATAGTTAACCGTTAGTTTTACCTTATCAAAAGTCCCCACATTTTACCTCAATTCATGATTTAAAAACCATTTGAAACGGTTCGTAAGGATTCGTTTCTATTTCTTTTCTATATGATCAATACTGCAGAGTCCAATTTTCGAGATTAAAATTAAATATTATTATACGAAAATCAATTTATGAACAAACAGAGTGAAAATGGAAAACAACTTCAGTTGTGTGGTCTAGAAAACAACCAATCATATCTTGTTAAACAATACAAGAACAGCAGCCGCATGATTTTATTAAACTTTATCCTATATTTACTTCACTTAAAGTGTGGAATTTCAGAATTCACTCACCTTAACAAATTGTTCTTTGTCATAAAATGTCTGGTAGTCTTTATTTAGTTGAGTTTTAAAAGTTTGCACTAAGCATTGTTTCATTTCCTCCGGTAGTATACTAGTTAGTTCCATGAATGTAAGTACCACATCTTCTATCTAAAATAAATAAGATAATTAATCACACTCGAATAGAATACAAAGATAAACTAGTAGTTATTGTTATTAGCAAAACGTAATTTGATGCGCTTGTTTATCCATATGACTAATTATGTTAACGATTACTCTATTAAACAAACAGTCACTTATAGACTTTACTTACTTACTTATGCCTGTTACCCCTCATGGAAGAGAACAGATCGCCCACTGGAAGTTAGCTGATAATTCATATCTATGGTTATACAATTGTCATTACAACTGGTTACCGTCACAAAGGCTGTAATGTATACGATACCTGGGGTGAATTCAACGTATTTTTCATTACAACTAACGTCATATGAGTAAACGCTGAAATCCTTAGATACCTGAACAAATGAGTTGTCTCACTACCCATCATCGTACACAATGTTGAAACCAGTGTAGTTATCAATCTAACTTATAATTTGTTGACGATTTAATTAAAGACTAATGCTCACTACCTAACATATATTTTGGAAGCAAAAAATTGAATTACCATACACAAAACGAGAAAATAACTTTGTTTATCCTGTAAGTATAAATTAGTTATATAATATGAATTAAAACAAAGCTATGTTATTTAAATAACATTTATACTCAGTTCATTTCCTCTTTTATCAGCTCTTTCTTCCTTTTCCCCACGGAATAACAAATTTGAATGAAATACTTTATTGTTTAACACTGATTACAAATCTATACTAATAAGTAGCTCTTCGACCATTCTTACTATGCATTATTTCGTTATTGTAAGAGTTCAGCAATACGGCACACCTATTTTTCCTATGTTTCAAGTGACTTTTAACGACACATGTTTTACATATTGGGTTTGACGGTTTCTTGGAAATATTAGCTGAGTTTTCGCCATTTAATCTAAAATGAGTAACTTTTTCAGGATTTAAATATGCTACAGTGGTTGTTACTTAAACATTTTTGCATGTTGAAGATATTTGCGATGGCGAAATACTGATTAAAACTTGATCAGAAACGATATACTAATTTAGAGGAATAATATAAACCAAATTAGAGACTGAAAGATTTGGATTGGAGACAAGACTATGTTGTTCTTGTTATCGTCTACAAAAAAGATATGGCTGTACAAGACTTATTTACTCTTAACTATTGTTAGTACTGCCAGAGTGGCAAAAAGTTGGTCGCTTCTTGGTAAATGCTAACAAAAACTAAGAGTGTAAGCTGCATTACTATAAAAGCAAATCACCTTGGCACCTGATGACTAAAGAAAAAAGTTTTATCAGTAAAATTCTGAACTAGGAATTTCAGTCTGAGAAACGGCCATATTTTTGTTTCAATTATCTTCAGTTTGGCGAAAGAGTTGAGGTGAAACCAATATTTGAATGGTTTCATAATAGTCAACTTCACCACTCTAGCCAAATAACTAATATATCAAGATAGAAAAAGGGATGAAAAGAAGATTCAGTGTTTAAACCACTTGAATATGGTTAATCGGTCCAGTAATAGCTCATTTTTTGATGGCCAAAGCCGATCAGTAGTATATAGCTCAGAATGCTTCAGACTTACTTTCTGACCTAGTACTTACACAAGTTAATCAACTAAAAGTTTTTAAGTTTGTTGCAGATAAGTATAAGATATTCAACTAAGAATGGCCCAACTATGTTATCATATCGGAACGGAAGTTCAAAAATAGAGAGACATCTCACCATATATGCATTTGTTGAACTTTTTTTAGGTGGTATCAAACTGTCACAGATCGAGGAAATTATAGCGATTTGTCCGTCATACTCTTTCTTGACTTTCAATTCTTTTTGTTTTGCCTCTGTTCGTCTGGCATCAGCACTTAGCTTCACTTTAGCCAGCTGGTTTCCTGACTGTATAAACATTTCTTGTTGCAACATAGTCAGTGTATATCTTAACCCTCTGACATAAGGTAAAGATTCGCTAAAATGATTGTGCTTATGGTTATTACGCATTAAGTATTCAGCTAATCGGTTAACAGGATTGAAGTTTCTGTCTAATCCTGCTCGATAACTTGTTTCATCCAGTAGGTCGCGTGTGATCAGATTTCTTCGAGTTGCTTCTTTTAAGATAAATTCCAAACCCAAAACAACTTGAGGCAAAATGTTATCAATTAGATAAGCTCTTGCTTCGATAGTATGTGGTTCTGATATCAGCCATTCCATAGATAATACATCGATTGGTGTCTGTCTAAGTAGATGGAACATTTTGTGTTTTTCCTCTTCACTTGTCTTCAAATCATTTTGGTAGAGCATGTAAAAACTCCCTTTTAAAAATTCTTCATCATCATATTTCGTCATTTCATATGTGTAGTTATCAGTACACTATGTTGCTTAACTAACTGTATGTGTAAATAATGAGTCTAAAAACTTTTGAGAAAGATGATAACTGGATTCCGATGTTTGGTCAACCAAAATTTTGATTGGAAAATGAAAGTGGACCTTTAAAATGTATCTCAAAAAAGAAATATTTGTTAAAATTATTTTTAAATAAAGTGCTGACATAATACATGACTAATAATATGCCATTCAAACATTTTTACATTTTACGTTCTGAAAGGAATGGCTTTGTCTGACAAAAACAAAACAAAAATAAGATCCCAGTAATTGTATGAGCGATATAAATTCGCAATCATAACCTTCTTTAAAGATATTTTCTCAGTAAATTTTCGGAGTCTTTTTAAGTTGATGCAATTATTACGGTAAATTTAACAGCTTTTATTTGCAACTTACCTGCATATAACTAGTAAATAGCGTTTAAAATTAAGAATTTCATTGTGAATTGAATAAATCAAATAATTAAACAAAAAACTAGCCATCTTGAGGTGAATAACCAGTACATCTACTGCAAAATCAAATGGTTTATGTTGCATTCAAATCTACCACGACCGTACAAAACAATTCCGTACTAAGTACATCAAATTTGAGTTTTTTGTCCTGTCGAAGCTGCAGACTTATTGGGATTATTAATGTTTTGTTATCTTATTTCAAGTTCACAAATCGTTATTATGATACATATTTTTGTTTTTATTTTATTATTTCATTCAAACACATAAACATAGGCACAAGGAGATAACGGATAGATATGCGCCACATAAATCATTCGACTTGTGTGAGGGCCAGGATACTACCCGGGTGACCAAACAGAAGTAGGTGGCTTTCTTAGGGAGTCACATCCACAGCCTTTGATCCAAAGGTAAAATCCACCTGGCAGTGGAGCAACGTCAGGAGATGCAGTCCCATGGTTAGCTCATATGCCATTTGTTTCTTCAGGATCCTGGAGCCCATGTGCACCATTAGTTTGGAATCATGGTTTTCCAACTCCCTTAGATGGACTCTCCGTGTCCACTAACCCGGTTGAAGCACTAGAAATTCGCTTTTCGTCCTCCCAATTTCGTAAACAACAGCTTTGCCGCAAGAGGGCAGTGAGTAGGACTTCCCTGGCAGTGGTTGGATGTACATGGACACGTGAGAGCGTTTAGAGAGAGAGCCAACACTCCTTACTCTCGACCGTACCAGGGCAGTAAAACTACCTATTTTTTTTGCTCAAATATGAGTTGTTTCTAAGTTTACATTATTTTGTGAACAAATTCTATACTGTTATTCCACTTTGCTAGTTCCTTAATATCAAATTAAACGAACTGAGAACTTGTTTTAAGATTTATATCGTGGTCACCAAAGAACCCATCAAAGGACTTGTTTGATTTTACAGATGTGTATCATATTTTTAGAGCTAAGACTTCGTGCGATAAATAAAAGAAATTGTGACATCTTTAAATGCCGGAAAGGATAATCAGTAAATGGCAGTCTAGTAATGACGTCTCATTGTTTTGTGTTACAATGGAGTGAGGAATTTTTAAGTGAAGAACGTTTGAGCTTCTGAAGACATACATTGCATTGTGACGGTGTAAAACTGACTTATGATAGTTCATAAAGATCCCAGCCTAAATTTTGATTCATTTAAGCTATTAATTATGAACTTACGATATAAACTGAACTAATTACTTACTTACTTAATTACGCCTGTTACTTTCAATGGAGCATAAGCCGCTGACCAGCATTCTCCAACCCACTCTGTCCTGGGCCTTCCTTTCTAGTTCCACCCAATTCTTGTTCATTTTTCTCATGTCTATCTCCATTTCTCGGCGTAATGTGTTCTTTGGTCTTCCTCTTTTCCTTTGACCTTGAGGATTCCATGTGAGGACTTGTTTTGTGACGCAGTTGGGTGCTTTCCTCAATGTGTGTCCTATCCACTTCCTGCGCTTCTTCCTGATTTCTTCCTCCGCTGGGATCTGGTTTGTTCTCTCCCACAGCACATTGTTGCTAACAGTGTCCGGCCAATTGATCTGAAGTATTTTGCGTAGACAATTGTTAATAAACACCTGTATTTTCTGGATGATGGCTTTCGTAGTTCTCCAGGTTTCTGCCTCATACAGTAGAACTGTCTTGACATTTGTATTAAAAATCCTGACCTTGGTGTTGGTTGACAGTTGCTTTGAGTTCCAGATGTTCTTCAGTTGTAAATATGCTGCTCTTGCTTTGTCGATCCGCGCCTTCACATCTGCATCAGATCCACCCTGTTCATCAATGATGCTGCCCAAATATGTAAAGGTTTTTACATCTTCCAAATCTTCTCCGTCAATTGTGATTGAACTGGTGCATGCTGCGTTGTATCGGAGAATCCTGCTTTTCCCTTTGTGTACATTGAGACCTACTGCTGCTGAGGCTGCTGCTACACTGTTCGTCTTCTCCTGCATCTGTTGTTGCGTTTGGGATAGAAGGGCCAGATCGTCTGCGAAGTCTAGATCATCCAACTGCATCTTAGATGTCCATTGTATCCCGCGCTTCCCTTCAGACGCTGATGTCTTCATGATCCAGTCGATCACCAGGAGAAAGAGTGAGAGTAAGCAACCTTGCTTAACACCGGTCTTCTCTTCGAACGACTTTGTCAACTGTCCTCCATGCACAATTTTGCAGTGTAATCCATCATATGAGTTCTGTATGATATTGACTATCTTCTGAGGCACGCCGTAGTGTCGAAGAAGTTTCCATAGTGTTGTTCTGTCCACGCTATCAAATGCCTTTTCGTAGTCAATGAAGTTGATGTAGAGTGATGAATTCCATTCAATTGATTGTTCCACAATGATCCGTAGAGTTGCGATTTGGTCTGTACACGATCTATCCTTACGGAATCCTGCAAACTGATCTAATACCTGGAGTTTACAGATATGCTAAGTCATAAAGAAGGAACCATATGGTTGGTTTAGAACTGACAAAACATATTTAAAATAAAAAATTAAAACTAATATCTATATGAATATTTGCCTTCACTTTACATGTTACTTTTTGATAACAACTGTGGTAATGAATACTCTTATTTATATAACCTCACCAAAAAATACCAAAGCTTCTTTCTTTTGTGCTGAACACACTATCAATGAATCAGCTGAGCATATACAATACGGCTTTACCCGTTGTTTTAAAAGAGTGTGAATCTAAACCGTTTTAAGAAAAATGCTGAAACTCCGGAAGGTTAAACCTCCAAATATTTCTGAAATATTTTAGAATCCCGACTGAATTTACGTTTACTACGATCTCTCAATCTCTTCATAGGTTGTCCCGATCGAAGCTGCTACCTTGACGCGGTGGTCGGGCTTGCCTATCGTGATGACCCAACCGAGCTATATTGGCTGGAACATATGTTCCTGCAGGTTCTACCATGCCAGGCAGGTCGATTGGCGAACGGTAAGACTAAAAGCAGCAACTCAAGGTCTGAGGGCGAAGTCGTACTGCTGACTGTAGAGAGGTGTGACAGCAGTAAGGTGTTTCCCTCGGACAACCAGCATGACAGCGATGCTGCCTTCCCACAAGGAGGGGTGGGGTTAGAAAAGGTCGACCCTAAAAATGCACACCTCACCTTGCCTCACGGATTTCCGTCTCCGGCGGTAAGGCCCCTTGAAGAACGGAGCTAACAAGTCAAAAACCTTCCACAAAAAGGCCGTGCGCGACCGGCCTCAAGCAGTTGTCCCTTGGGCTCTGCGGTCACGCTCCCAGGTCGTCAAGACCAACACTAATCCAATTTCCTTTTCAGGTTCATCAAGAAATACCCTTCCACGGTGTGGGCAGCCGGGAAGTGACATCAGCCCTCATACCCGTGACAGCACAAGAGACCAAGGTGGTCACATTCAAATCCTTCCTACACCCCCTAATACCTCTCTTATCCTCCCGACTAACCCTCCTCACGTCTCTTTATCACCTCGCACCGCTAGGGCAAACGATTCGAGTACGTGGAACGCCATTCCTGGTCTCCTGAAACCACGCTCTAAACTACACGTAGGAGCTTTTAACGTACGAACACTGTGCCAAATAGGACAGCAGGCTTCCTTAGCTAGGACTTTAGAATCTCGCGCCATCGATGTGTGCTGCGTCTCCGAAACGCGCATACAGGATCCGAGTAGCGTCATTCATTTGACCTCACCATGCCAAAATAAAGAACCGACTCGATTTACGCTTCGTGTATCTGGAAGCCCTGATTCTGCTTCCCGTGGCCTCGCCGGCGTAGGTATAGCATTGAGTCCTAGGGCCGAACTAGCTCTCTTAGAGTGGATCCCAGTAAACAGTCGTTTGTGCGCTGTCCGATTGAACGGAACAGTAAGAATCCGGAAAGATAGGGACACTCGTCGTTGCCTCTTCGTCGTCTCTGCCTATTCTCCCACTGACTGCAGCTCAGATGATGTAAAAGATGAGTTTTACAGAAAGCTTTCGGACCTTCTCCGAAAAGCTAAGCGCTCGGATGTAGTAATAGTGGCCGGTGACTTTAATGCTCAAGTAGGTAAACTAAGCGATAAGGAAAGACACCTAGGTGGATCCTATGGTGTCGTGGCTCAAAGAACAGATAATGGCGACCGTCTGTTGCATCTATGCTCAGATAACCGCCTGTTCCTTGCAAATACTAACTTTAAGCATAAGGAAAAACATCTTTTAACATGGCGACCCCCTAATTCGTCCCAACGTTGGACCCAAATAGATCACATCGCTATCAGCCACCGATGGAGGGGCTCGATAGAAGACTGTCGCTCATTCTGGAGCACATGCCTAGATTCAGATCATGCTCTAGTGCTAGCGCGTATTTGCTTGCGTCTTACTGGACGTAGGAAAGACGCTGCAAGTAAACCTCTTAGGGCCCTACTTAATGATAGTCAAGCTAAGAGTATATTTCAGGAACAACTAGGAAAACAGTTAGGCAGCCATGTATGTGATGCCCACCCCGAGGCAGCATGGAACGATATCCGAAAAGCTGTGGAAACAGCAGTGATATCTGCTAGTAAGGTAAACCGTAAAGTTAGGGAGCAACACTGGATCTCAGCAGCATCTATCGCACTGATAGATGCTCGAAAACTCCTTCCACCTGGCTCTGAACATAATGAAGAGCGGAGTCAGCTTAAGCACAAGCTGACAAGAAGTCTACGCAATGATCGCGAACAGTGGTGGGTAGCGAAAGCAAGAGAGATGGAAAAGGCAGCGGCAATAGGTAATGGCAGACAATTGTTTAGACTCGTTAAGGAAACCGGAATTAGGAACCCGACCGTTAGCGAAACAATCTCAGAGAAAGATGGACATATTATTCATTCTCAATCCAGGAGATTGGATCGATGGGCAGAACACTTTAGGGATCAGTTCAACTGGCCTTCAGCCACACTTCGGTTTCCCACGATCTCCAGTCAACCTGAATGGCAAGTTAATGTAAGTCCTCCGTCCCTTTACGAAGTTGAAAAAGCCATAGGAAATCTGAAACGAGGGAGAGCAGCAGGCCCTGACAGGTTTACTCCTGAGATTTTTAAGGATGGTGGTCCAGTATTAGCAGCAAGATTAACTGAGGTCTTAGGTAGAATTTGGGAACTGGACGTAATCCCATCTGACTGGTCTCAATCACTGATTGTGCCAGTTTTTAAGAAAGGACAAAAGTCCTCTTGTGACAATCACAGAGGAATCAGTTTGACAAATATAGTATCTAAAATATTAGCCTCAATCATACTTCGACGCCTAACTAAAGCTCGTGAAGAGCAGACTAGAGAAAACCAGGCCGGTTTTCGACCTGGACGTGGTTGTATAGATCAGATATTCACACTACGTCAGGTTCTAGAACACAGACACATATTCAGACGCCCCACAATGGTAGTATTTCTCGACCTTAGGGCGGCATTCGACTCCGTTGATCGTGAGGTTCTATGGCAGTGTTTGTCACTGAAAGGAGTACCAAAGAAGTACATTAACCTTATAAAGGCTCTCTACTCGAACACAACTGGTAGAGTGAGAGCTTATGGCGAACTGTCATCAGAATTGATCACCTCAAGTGGTGTTCGTCAGGGCTGTCCACTCTCCCCATTCTTGTTCAACTTTGTCATTGACGTACTTTTAGAGATAACACTCTCCTCATCTAAATTTACAGGGGTTGAACTTCTGCCAGGAGGTTCACTCGTTGACTTAGAATATGCAGATGACATAGTTTTATTTGGTGAAGACGCTGACAAAATGCAGAGTCTTCTGACCACTCTAAGCAACAATGCAAGCATGTTCGGGATGCGATTCTCTCCCTCGAAATGCAAAATGTTGCTTCAGGATTGGGTTACATCGACACCCGAACTAGTGATAGGGAGTGAAGTAGTTGAGTGTGTCGACCGCTTCACTTATCTTGGAAGTCTCATCAGCCCTTGTGGTTTGGTGTGTAACGAAATCTCAGCACGGATACAGAAGGCTCGACTAGCTTTTGCCAACTTGCGTCATTTATGGCGTAGGCGAGATATCCGTCTATCAACCAAAGGACGTGTTTACTGCGCAGCAGTTCGTTCCGTCCTACTTTATGGCAGTGAAACATGGCCGGTAAGAGTAGAGGATATCCGTAGGCTACTAGTTTTTGATCATAGGTGTCTTCGAAACATTGCTCGTATATCATGGGACCATCGAGTAAGTAACACAGTTGTTAGGAAACGGGTACTAGGTAAAGATGGCAAATCAATTGATGACGTAGTGAAACTTCATCAGTTGAGATGGCTGGGACACGTGTTACGTATGGCCAACGACCGACTGCCTCGACGTGCTATGTTCAGTGGTATAGGAGTAGGTTGGAAGAAAGCTAGGGGCGGCCAAACCAAAACATGGCTCAAGTCCATGAAGTCACTGACAAGTGAACTGAGTCATGTTGGTAGGTGTAGACTACCTGGTTGGGGACCGCGAGATGACAGCAACCGATGGTTAGAGACCCTGAATGACATGGCTCAAAATCGTTCGCAATGGCGCAGGTGCATCCACTCTCTGTGTTCTCCCAAACTCTAATCTTCTGAATTCTTCATGTCCCTTTTTCCCTCTTTCCAAATTTCTTTCACTGGATTATACTCTTTAAATAACATCTCCAAACCCTAATCTTCCCGATTACTGCTTATACTCTTGCTACCTCTACCACTACGGGATTTGAATCGACCACTGCATCTCTGTGCTAATGTGGTGTGGCAACTCGAACTGATGTACGTACGTGCGATGTTCTACGTTGTTACTGACTGACTCATAGGTTGTATGAAACTTATATCCACGTTTCCAAACTGTTCATAACCGAGTTACCAAATAAGCAGGACCGAGCATGTTTCGAGACGTTACTGAGATAAATACACTTTAGATGTGCGATTAAATACCGGTTTCTGTTTGTGTATTAGTTTCTGATAAACATTTATACTGAAATAATTATTCATTGTCCATATTATTTTCAGCTGGCTTCGCAAGGGTTAACAGACAAAATTGTAAGTTTTTTATTCAGAATACAATATTGTTATGTTGTTGGTACGCCATCAACCTTTTAAATGACATTCGGATCCCGTAGGTTGGATGATTGCCACAACAGTTGTTTATTTACCAAAGACTTACTTCTTTTCTTTTTGTAGAACATTGTGAATGGAAAACTCAACGTCTACCTAACGTATTCCTCCGAAAAACACGATCAGTTATAAGGAATTGAAACGCGTTATCTATTACTGAATGATTTGTACTTTATTCAACTTTAATGAATTTTAGAATGTGTGACGAATCATTCTTTTAATTACGGTGATAGATTGGTTCTCGTTACCAATTTTAGTTTAGATGCGTTGGCAATGCGTTTACTGTGTGAGATTGACATGAAAAGATGGAACGCATGAGCAAACGTTTTTGTGCATTGATTATTAGATCTCCAGGCTTTTCCGTGATATCTACCGAAAATTGTGTAGAAGTATTGCGTTACAACGTTACATCTTGAGAATTTCCCCAAAATTGCCGGAGATTTTGGGGTTTTATCATAAAATGCATAAGCATTTCCCAAAAGTGTAATAAGATTCTGGGTGGATATCAGAGAAATCCACAAAGTTTCGGGGAAACATTGTGGAGAAATGCGAAATTTCGGAAAATTCCCCAGAATTACGAGACATTTTAAGGTTTCATCAATAAACATAGACGGTTTTCACTTAAATGTAATAAGTTTCTGGAGAAACTTTGGGGAAATGGCACCAAAACCCCAACATTTTCTATGGCGGCTTCCCCAAAATTGGGAGATATCTCCCAATATTGGGTTCTCCTCTTTATTATTTATAGTAACATTTCAGTTGTCCCAACCTGGTGGAACACATTTTCCGGTAGGAAAATAAACGATCTGACAGTTATTTCAATTAGCAAGGTCATCATTTTCATGTGAAAATTATTAATATTATGTGTGGAAGCTTACATAGTGCGGTATTATCTGTTGCCGTCGTAACCAATGTTAAACCGCTTCAATAAGTTTGTTCAATAAACTTTATCGATAAGTGGCTAAAGTAGAATACTAAAATTTCCTATGGACTACGATGAGACTTATTAAGAACAAATTTTGTTGTGCAAGTTCATTCTAACACAATGGAGTCATGCATAGCTCGTCCACCTCTCAGAATTTATGGATTTTCCTCGTCCATGATAAGTCACCTAAAAATAGCATGTTGTGTTTTGGAGGATGATTATATCTTCTACGCAACAGTTGTACTTTATCAACTACCTCCAATATCACTGTCCCTAAACAATTCATTTATTCAAGCTATCTGAGGAGTTCACAAAATCAATTTCTTCTGTATTTGATTAAAACGACAAATGTTTGCACATTATTCCACGCTCGGTTCGAATTACAGAATGTAATGCCTTCAAGTGCACTTATTGGCTTCTCCCTGAATGATATATTGGTTCATTCACGATTAATGGGGGACGAATTGCATAGTCCTGTGAACTGTCGTTTAGTAAACTAAATTCTACTACTTTAGTTTGTAGTGGCCTACTTTTATGGAGAGAATGCGATTGGTATAATGCAAACAATTATTATTATAGTCAACTATACCAGTAATTGTTTTACTGTACTTGTTTGTTTATGTGTACCAAACACATACCTTCTTCCATTGACTGTAGGCCTTGCGCGCGCTTGCGTACGCTCAGTAGTTCCACTTGGCACGATCTCGGTATTCTTTCGATACCACAAGATCGCCAACAAATAAATCTTACTACAACCATCAACTGGCTTCTGGTTTTGGCCTACGAAGGGATTCAATCAAATATCTGGCACACCATCTTCCTGTAGTGGTGTTCATAGTCAATCGCGACTCGATGCCCACTACAAGCTTATCACTGTCCCTCTCAGATACCACTGTTGAGTAAATATAACAATCTTATACAACTTGTCTGAAATCATAGCCCAACGTACCTGCTGAAAAGTTCCGTGAATGAGCCTCCAGACTGAAATACTTTTTCAACAGCATAAGGTTCCAAATAAGTAATCTTGTATCGTCTTGAATGAAGCGACCATACTTTCCTATCTGTAAGTATCTCGATAACTAAATCACAAGTCGAATTTGTCTTCTGTTGAAACCTACGTGGAGCCGATAAGCTGCTTAAGTAACAATAAGCTTTTTTGTGGATTTATGAAATAAAGCTAATAATAATACATGCATGCATACCACACTGAATATTCTGGACCAGTTCTCCTTAATAGTATATAGCTCTTAGACTACTAGACAAGATGTTCCAATACAATCACGCTCTGAAACACCTTTGTACACTGACTGCCATACCATCCATTCTAACATTAGACTGACCATTGTCGGAATTCAGTTCTTTAAAATCAAATCATTCCCTTGCTCTGTGTGATAGAGGCCACGGAAACAGATATAAACTCACCCCTCGACAGCAATCTGACTGATAATTCTATGCGTTATGATGTAATTGGTTTTCTCCCACATAAATCATGTACTTACTCTCTAAAACAGCTAGACCCTTCAACTTGAACACAACTATCACGAGTATATGTAAATCTGAGTTTTCTCTAGGGCAGCCGACGGAATCGGCTATTCATTCTTGTACCTAAAAATCAATTTAACCGACAATAGAGGGTGTCTGGTTAAGTGGTTTTTAAACTATCTATGGGATTGATTGTAAGCCATCAGAGTTTGCTCTACATTTATAAACTGATTTCTGAGGAAAATTGGTGTGCCGCAAAGATAATTTTTAGACGTGTATTCTTCCGACTGAAGACTGACACTTAGCTGACACTCGTTCTGATAATTCGAGGACTTTAATAAATACTAAGTTACACACTGCCCCTCGTGGAGGAGCAAAGGACACTGACCGAAATCCTCCAGCCAACTCTGTCCAGAGCTCACCATTCTAGTTGACTTCAGCTGGAAGCTGGTTTTCTTCCTGTCATAGGAGGTTTGCCCTTCTGGTATCCGCCCAACGGACATTGCGTATCTTAAATAAACAGCCGTTAAGAAATATTTGTACGCTTTGACGAGGGTTTTGGTAGCCCTCCGAGTTTTCTCTCCATACAGTAGAACTCTACTGACGTTCGTATTAAAGATTTTGACTTTGATATTGGTTGACAGTTGTCTTGAGTTCCATATATTCTCCGATTATAGGAATACGGCCCTTGCGTTGCGAATCTTTACCTTTACATCTGCATCATATCCTTCTTGTTCATCGATGAGTTTGACCAGGTACGCGAAAGATTTCAAGCCTTCCCAAGTTTCCCATTTAGCTGTGATTGGGTTAGTATTCTCCCTGTTTTATTTGAGGATCTTGGTTTATCCCTTGTTTATTTCGAGGCCTACTGTGTTTCGGTGGCTATTGTTCTTCCCCCCAAATGTTACTGAATAGAACGTGGAGCATGTTTTTGCACTTACCTATATATCTGACTTCAGTGCTCCAGCTGCTTTATTGTTACGTTATGCTGCTTTCCCACTCTCAATCTGTCTGGTGGTCATGTTTATGTCTTTGTTCGTTGGTAGAGTAAAATTTATAGGAATGTCTGTGTGCGTTACTTCGAAGTCCAGTGGGTTCAGTGGAGCTGGTCTATTCAAGAGTTCCTCAAAGTGTCCTAACCATCTGTTCTTCTGACCTTAAATATCAGCGATTGGCTTGGCTCTTCTGTCCTTGAGCGGTCGCTTCCACTAACTGTATTTCATAATAATATATATGTTCTCAGATAACAATACGTTATATGAGGCATGCCAATTTACAGACAAGATCATGTTCATCAAAATGCTATATGACTTACTTTGTTATGTTACTCAATTATTTTGATACATTATAGAGCACATGGGCATTATAAACAGGAGATAATTTTTCATACATCAGAATATTAATGATAGAATGACTCCAATAGCATGTTCAATATGAGAGTTGGTACGCTTTTTGGGAGTTGCGTTGCGGCAAGCAATTGATGATCGAGAATTACTAGAATCGAGGTCTGGAGCAGTCATTTGAAGGCGTTAACTTGAACTCATCAATTTTTACTTCTCGATAGGGACCCTAATAAGTTCCGGAGGTATAAGTGATGGCTCGGGACAAAGCCGTTTGTTCTAAAAATGTTTTTAGTGGTACGCCATGGGGGTACTGAAGAAGGGAGAAAAAGGGGGTGAGGAGCAGAACAGACAGTGCCTATGACTAGTGAAGTTTGGTCATTTGAGAACGAACAACTGGGGTATGACTACTTAGGCTGATACTCTTTTACTAGGTCAGTTTCTAAGCAAATATATTTCATCAGGTCTAAGAAAACAAGTCGCATTACGGCGACCGGTCTGAAGATGATTGAAAAAGGAGCTGAACGTTTCAGATTATGTGTGGCATCAAAATCTAGTAAGGAAAATACAATATTCGAATGCCAACTGCCTTTTTTCGTCGTAGCTATTATAGCTCGTTTTTATTGTCATGACTTTCATAGTAATAAGTGGACTCAAATTCAGCGTAATTGTCCAGTCTTGCTTGCGGTATGATTCCCCAGTGAAAAACAAAATAAATCCAGGGTCGCAGTCATGAATCAAAGAGGTGTTTGACATAGGAACTGGCATCTCTGACAATTTCTTTGTTGTGTGATATTGTGGTGAATGAGGACACAAGTGGGGACAGTCAATGTACTTAAATACAACATTGCAAAATATCTCAGTAAAACCTGAGGACCATCCAATAATATTTGATTTGTAAAACGTTCATTGATAGTCTCAGACTTCATTGTTCTTATATTTCCATATCAATTCTTTCCTCCTCCATCTTCATGACGTTCTGCTGCCAGACCTTCCATTTCTGAATATACCACTTATATCGACATAAGTGGCACACACCACAATTTAGTTGCTGCATATTTCCTTCTGTTGTAGCTATTTCCACTGTCCATTCATCTATATATTCCCACTTGTCAAATCTAATACTCCTCTTCACTTGCCTGTCTGCTTCAGGGTATTCAGCTTGTGTCATGACTTTCTGAGTTCTTTTCCGACTGTTGTTGATTGCTGTCTTCTTGATCTTCTTTAATTGGATCTTATCAAGGGATCTGATAAAGATCCATTCTTTGTGGAGATGCTTCTTAGGGTCCACAACCTTGTAATACATTAGAGTTAGTGCTTCCAATTATCTTCCATAGTATCTTCTTTTTTTAGTAGATCTTGCAGGACATAAAGCGTGTTGCTGAGAGCTATCTTGGATTCTTTAGGTTTTTCAGTATCTCGAAGACTGTATGAAACCTTCGTAGCGCTGTTTCTACAGTTGTCCAGAGCTTCTTTAGCTTTAGATTCATTTTGGCAACTACGAGGTGGTGATCTAAAGCTATGTCAGCTCCTTTCCTGCTCCTCGCATCTTCCAGCAACCTTTTGGATATTCTGATGATATAGATATGATTGGTCAGGTTCTCTGTGGTCTGGTCCGGTGAGATCCATATAGCTTTGTGTATGCGTTTGCGTGGGAATATTATGCCACCTAAAACCATTTTGTTGAATGCACATAAATTCACAAATCTCACCATTCTCGTTTGTTTCTCTCGGCCAGTCCATGCTGTCCCATGATATCTTCAAATCCGGTGTTGTCCATCCCGACCTTGCCGTTCAGATTACCCATTTGGATCGTGAGGTTCTTTCTTGAACACTTCACTGTGATTGATTGAAACCTCTCGTATAACTGGTCTTTATCTTCGTCACTGCTATAATTGGTGGGTACATAATATTGGATAACATTCATAATTCTTTTGAATGAATACCCTTCGACTCCCATGAAAGCTCAAATTGTTTAGCGTTTTTTTAGTAGGTTTCTTTTCTACGAGATGAAGTTCCTAAACCAATGACAACTCTACTTTAACCTAGCATGGGACTAAAAGTAAACTAAAGAGCCACGGACGGAGTTGTTTAAAGACTAAGAGGTTCACAAATGCTTTCGATGATACCACGACTTTTCAGTAAGACGTATCAGAACACAC